GTCAAATTGAATTTTTTAAATTGGATCCCCCACTTTTTATTATATATTCTTGTAGCCTATTTCAAGGGCTTTCCAAAAACCTATAATAAAATATTTTTATTATTAGGCATATTTAGAGTTATGAGGCTTGAAAGGATTTTGGTCTTTAACTGTTTCTGTTTCGTAAAAACGTATCACTGTCTTCTGAACGGTGGATTTAGAAATAAAATTGCGATCAGGATATACAGCATTGAATGTGTAGATCAGTTACTTCTTCGTATGATCTAATATGGTCTCCAAATTTTCGATAAAAAAACAGCATTATTCTTTCTTTTTCGGTCAACATTTTCGAAAAAGGAATTTGAAATTGTAACTGGAAAAAGAAAGAGAAAAGACAGAGTGAGATACGAGAGAGCGCGACTCGTTTTTTAAAATACAAAAATCGAGAAGCGTTATCGTAAAGCGCGGGTATGCGCGAGTTTCGACTGAGTATATATATATATATATATATATATTGGCCATTATATTATTATATTTAAGTTGCAGCTCACTGAATTTTTCAAAAAGGAGTTATAATATTGCATAAAACTATTGAAAGTATAAATTATATATTTCTGCTCTTTCAAAAAATAGATTTGTACAATAGATAATATATAAAAATTATTTGATACATAAACGTATAAAAAAATAGGTCAAATGTACTTAATAGGATTTCCCTGACCATCCAATAAGTGATCCTGTGGATCGTACAAATATTTAGGCCCATCTCCCACTTTAGTGTGTATAATATATTGAAATTGTCCTGGTAATTGTTTCTGGAACTTCAATTTCTCCAACAGATCCTGTTACAAAATAATAATTACAATATGTGTTAAATCCAGTATATCAAGTATCATATGTTAAATAAAGTAAAATCCAAATTTTATACATGAAGTACATACTTGCGAAGGTTTGGTTGTTTCAATCGGTAACCCTCTTTTGTATTCAACTATGTTTTCAGAAGGAGGAAAGAAATAGTTCAAGGCACCCATTACTGCTGGCACATCTTTCTCCATTAAGTACAATGTAGCATTGGGTCCTGCATCGTAAGTATATGCAACCTAACAATTCTTTTTACATTAATAAAAAAAAAAATACCAATCCCTATCATGTGCCACAATTATAGCAGTATAATTACAAACAATAAATTAATACAGCATATTTATACAGCAATTTACATAATTAATTAAAAGAATAAGATGAAAAATTTTCATATTCAAATTTATACATGCCTTTATATCATCCACGGCATCATTATATGAATGTATAAAATTTATAATACTGTGAGAAATGTTATTCATATACGTGAACGGAGGATATGTATCGAGACATATAGCGTGCATCTGATTAGAATCCTTCATAGTGAGCTCAGCAAAAGTCTTAAAATCTTTTTGGATAATTGCGCGTTGCATTTTATCGACTCTCTCAGGCACCACATTTGCTATTCTGTATTGCATGAGTTCCGACGTCTCCATGCTTTTCTTCATGCCAATTGTGCTCGATACTTTTTTTCGTTCACCGTTTACCTACAAGTTTAACATAATGCAAATATCTTGGTCGCTTTTAAAATCTGTGTACACGCAAATATAAGTATGCTTCTATCATTTTCTTACAACTATCAGTAAAATCCTCATCTCTGGCCAATGAGAGACTGGTGCAATTTGTTTTGCCAAACTGTCTGTGCCATATTTATCTGATCCCATATGCCATCTCACAAAACCACCCAGAACACTGCGACATGCTGAGCCAGAGCCAGAACGTGCTATGAGACTGATATCGCACTGCAAGGACACTTTAATGGTTAAATTTGTATAACTTTAAAATACTATTAATGTTACACACAAGAAAATATATATGATTATACCTCGACTTTATAAAGTTTAGCTAATGCTGCTGTAAGACATGCGTATCCTGCAGCACTGGAGGCTAAACCAGCCGCTGTTGGGAAATTATTGTTTGAACTGATATGAATTTTCCAATCATTCATATGACTTGGCAACTGCGAAAGTTTCCTAACTTAAAAAAAAGAATATAAGATATGCAAAAGATATCTTTAAAAATAATATTAATAAATTTCTATACATTTTTAACTGTTAACTGCACACTTACTTTCATTTAAGCAGTTCTGAAGTCTTGGATTTTTTATATCCTCTTCTCTGAAAAGAAATATTAATTTATTACATGATATATGAATAACATAAGAAATATAAAATTATATGTAAATAATACTTTATTAATATACCTTTCATTTAGCCAAATACAGTCTTTTTTAAAGTCCTGGCTGATCATAACAGTAGTTTTTGCACACAACTAATAACAAGATAAAGTGTGAATATTTTATCAAGATATATGTATTTCAAATTTGTTAAAAATTTTCAGGTATTTACTTGATTTATGTCTAAGGTAGCACTTATAGAATCATTGGTTGGTAAAATTAAGGATTCATCTCTCTTTCCCCCTAAAATAATCCAGATTTAACAAATTAGTTCTTTGAAAATATATAAGGATTAAAGGCAGTTATGTGAGAGCTAATATTTGCATATTATCACTATAATCAACTTCTAGCCAATAGCTATATAGCAGCATAGCCAATAGCCAATAGCATATAGCAGCATAAGCAATATTAAAAATACTTAAAAGTATATTTGTATGATAAATATTTATACTGTATGCAATTGTATAAAATATTTTATATTTATGACAAATATAAATCATAAAATAAAAAGGAAAATTATACATACACACATGATTTTAATTATTTATGAATAAAATATTAATTATAAAAATCAATACTTCTCTATAAAAATCTAAAAAAACTAACTAAAGATAACAAAAATTTTGCAACTTTATGCATGATACTTATTAAATAATCAAATATATCTGAATCAAGATTTCAAACTGTATAATTACATAAATATTCTTATAAAAATATGATAAATCTCTCTTTCTTTTATACAAATTTATTGACAGGATAATGACAGAATATTTTTAATAATTGAATTAGTTATACGTACAGTATTTAATGACTGCAATATTGATCGGCGCAAGGCAGGTAACAATATTCATGATTACAATGCGATTTTTGAACACTTGTTTTCACACTTGTTTGTTCTACCACCTTCTTCTGTCTCCAGTTACTGCACAGTGAAAAATAAAAGAGAAAGTTAAAGAACACACGTATATATATATATTACTGACATGTCAAAAGTATATATTTGTATGCATATAGTGTGTGAGCTCAGTCAAGGTCACTCTACACTTAAAGCATATATATATATATATATATGGAGAGAAAATTGCGTAGCCTCCTGTAGACCAAAAGTGTCTCCAAGATCTGTGCGAGATAGAAAAATATACATTCTTATTCCTCCTCTGTGCGCATGCGCCAACATGCATCAGTTGTTGCTGGACTACAAAATTATTGGTTTCAATATTTTTTTACTTGAATTCTATCAACTTTACCGAAAAATAGCAAGAGATAAAAATTGTTTATTTTCTTCTCATAGAGAATTCTCGGAGAATTTTTTCAGAATTTTATATTAACTTTTTAGTACTGCATTTTTTGCATTTTCTTGCTTTTTGAAATGAAAGTTAATACAAAATTCTGAAAAAATTCTCAGAGCTCTATGAGAAGAAAATAAATAACTTTTATCTCCTGTTAACTCTATAACCTAACCTGTCAACTTCAACGCATGCGCACAGAGGACGAATAGGAACGTATAGTTTTCTCTCTCGCACACACTTGGAACACTTTCATGCCTGCATTCCCCCTGCGTTATATATATATATATATATGCTCCAAAGCTCATTCTACAATTGCGTGAACGTGTTTGTAAGTAGTTGTAAGTGATTACGACACCAATCAGGGTAAAGCAATCAGTGAATGAAACATTCGGATTGGTTGACTCTTACGCTCACGACGTTTACACAATTGTAGAATGGGCTTAAGCTCTACATTGCGTAAGCGTGGTGAACGTAAGAATTAACCAATTAGTGTTTTATTTACTGATTGCTTTATTCTGATTGGTTGTCGTAATTTACTCCGGCAGAAATGATCATCTCCTTTTCTCTTTGTCACCCGCAATTGTAGAAATTATTGTTATTCCAATTACGTTATCATATATTATATTACGATTTAAAATGATGAAACAATACTTATGCGATGAGCACCTATCGATAACGCTTATGTAGTAAACCTGTTCATTAAAATATTTGGCCTTTATTTTTTAACTAAGTCATAAATAAAAAAAGACACAACCTTGAACACACAAACATTCCTTGGACAAAGGCGAAGGAACTTGAATAAGAGTGAATATAATCTGCAATAAATATTATGTTACCAAATGTTACACTACACACGTACAATAGAACGAATTAATCTTTGCGAACTATGCTGGGTTAGATGGTAATCCCATAGACCAAGCATCCAACAGCTTCTTGTCCTGAGGTCCTGCACCCAGACTGAGCATGAGTCCGGAGAGATCGCCGCGATGGCCTCGCCCGTGCATCGCGTGAACAACTTTCGCAATGCTGTAATAATAACAAAAATATATCAATACTAAGACTCAGAATTTAATACGATACACTTCACTAATTGCTGTCAGATTTAGCAATTATTCTGCTTATAATACTTCAAATGAATTTCTGTATATTTAAATATTTAACTTCTCTGCATATTTAAAAATTTAGACAACACTTAAAGAACCTGATGTTGAGAATTAATTTGGTAAACGTGGCGTATACCTTATATAAATGACAAATAAATTCATACTTAGCCCATTCCTCCTGAAGAGTCGCAAAATGCGCTCTAACAACTGAATTCCCAAGCTTCTCATTGTCGAGTGATTTCTCGATCTTCGTTAACATTGTCGGAAGTTTCGTTGGTAACACGCCCGTCCACTTGATTATGTGAGAATTTGTGTTTTCCACTTGGTGTTCGTTCAGTATTATATCTAATCTACATACGTTTGCACAGGGTAAAGGCACCGCCACTGAGGTGTCCACTCCTGAAAATTTCAACATGAAATTGATAAAGAATATCTTAATCGTAATGTTTTGATAGAATAATGGAAATATTTTATAAAAATTTCTTGATAAAATCTAATGAGTAACTATGACGAGTGATATGTTACCGATAAAGTTACAAGCGTCAGGATCCATATATTCCGACGTTTGCGTCTTCACCCTTCGACACGCTCTCGGCACGAGACTACTAAGTCCATACAAAGATTCCAATCGCTGGATCTTTGGACCTCTTACTAGAATTTGAACACCGGTTAGACAGGAATACAGTAGCTGTCTGAACTGATCCTTGCCAAGTACTCGTTTAAGATCTCTTAAGACCACGACGGTAGATTTTTCCGTGATCTCGGAAAACTCCGGCGAAAGTTCTGACTCGTCCGAATATAAATTTAAGTTGACCGGTAGTTTCGCGTTCACCAAGGTAAAGCCTCCTTCAGTTTCTGCAAGTTAATTTACGATATTTTCATTTCTATTACAACGTAGGTGTATCCAAAAAATACATTTCAACAGTAGTCATTAACATAGATAAGAGAATGATATTGTAATGTTCTAACCAACTTGATTCTCGAAACTGTAATTTATTTCGTCGTCTAGCAAACTCATTGGGAAAACTTCTACGAAATGTCTCGCACCAGCACTAAGAATCCATACTAACCACATGTGAATTCTGAAACATATATATATTATACATATGTAAAGTAAATAAAATCACATACATATTTATGTAACTTATAATAAAGAATTATAATATATAACATAACATTAACGTAATAGAACTGTACCTTACAAACACGTGTTTCTCATTTGTTATGTCAGTAAGTGTTCTGGACTGCTTGATTGAAGCATTATGGCAACCTGCTCCATTATTTGCCGTAGTCAGTCTCATCGCCCTTTGTGAACACTCTGCCTCTTCTGCATTGTATCTTTTCTCTGCGAAATCTTGCAACTCTCTGATGACTTCCTTTAAATTGTCGATTAAAAACGGCCACATATTCAATAAGAATTGCTTGTCCCTCATGAAAACAATAAAACTGCACCATCTTCTGAAACCTCTTGCCTGTCAAGAAACAGATATCCCTCCGTTCAATGCAAGAGAAGTTGTACGAAAATATGATAAAAACTGTAAGTTCTAACAACTTAAATATGGCATTATTTGAAAAATTTGTTGTAATAACTACCAAACATGCTTTTTCGTTGCATAATTCACCTGGGCATCTTTCAATGTAAAAGTATGACTTAAAACATGCCCCCTGTACTCATCTCCAAAGTAACAAACACCTTCTTTACCAGGATGTACTTCGCAGCTCAGACTCCTTGAAAGTAAAAATTATTGATAATAACAGAACTTTAAAAAACAAATTGCATACTCAATCATTTCAATGTCTCTGATTAAATTTAATTGATTCCTATAATAAATTTAAGACCTCCAAAGTTTACAAAAAAATAAATTATAATAATTATACCTAATACATGCATGCTTTAACAAGTTTCCAATATCTTGCATTAGTGATTGTTGAGCAGATAAGAAAGATGTCCTTGTGTCGTGATCATTACTTAAATATTTAATATTTCCAATGCTTTGACAACCTTCGCACTCATCTTGCCCATCTTCTAAGGATACATGGTATTGTCTCAATACTTCTTTAGGTCCATAAAATTTTAGTTTCTCTATATTCTGCATATCATAGTTACGATATGTTTGTGTAGTAAATATTACTTTGGGACCATGTATTTCACAAAAGGTACACAATGCAATTGCAGCATTCATTGCTCCTGGATACTGATCTTTGAACCGTTTTTAATCCTTAGGAAACTCAATACAATTCTCTTCACATGATCCTATGTAATTTAATCTTAAAATTATATCTCTTATAAATTTATATTTAATTATTACTTCTATCCACAATATATGTATCATAATAAACAGAATCATATATTATAATAATGTACATATATATATCATAATAATATATATTACACACACTTAAAAATATTTAATACAATTTAAGTAAAGGTTACGCGTAGCTTTGCTAAAATTCAAAATAATATATGATTCATACATACAAACATAATTTAATATATAATTCTGATTTATTATTCAAAAGATATATAGTAATTTATAACATAACCTCCATCAAGATATTTTTTACGGTACGATAATCGACATTATTTTACCTGTTTATTCGTTTAGTAAAAGTTTACTACGAAGTTGACTTTTTCTATCCTTTTCACGTGATAAAACAAAAATGAAGTCGGGAGGCCGAGACACGTGACATTATGATAGCTAATCTCGACATTGGCTCACACAGCAAATGTATATGTATGTGTACATAATACATATATATACTTTTGCATATATATGAAAACAAAACTAAATTTACGCTATTGCATATCGGGTTGCTAATCACTAGGTGCTCAACATACATCAAGATAACCCATATAGCCCATGGCCAGTTAATAAATTCTTGTGGATAATTTTACTGGGACATATGAAACATATTAACAAACATATTGCAAAACATAAGAGGAAGGAAGATATTTTATTTCTTTCATACATATTGTGTTCAATTGCCAAACTTCAGTTTGAAACCTTCATAAGCAGCTCTCATCCATATACAAACAGCATGTGATTCAGAATCTATATATTTGAACTTCTGTATAACATATAAATTATACATGAAAGTTTCATCAATGAGTAACTAAATAAATGATATACGTGAAATGTGTTATAGTTGAGTAATACCTGGTGAAGTGTGTAACCAAGGCGAGTTTGTGGCATGTTCAAAGTTTGCTCAGCAGAAGACTCAGCTGCTTCGACAGCTTTCCTAAATGCATCGACGGGACTTAAGCCTGAATCTAACGCATCTTTTAAACTAAGTTCCGCGGGTATTAGAGCATCCATCATAGATCGATCACCAACCGACAAATCAGTGGCCTCAGATATTATTTGATTTGCGGATGTTAAAGCAGACCACCACATATCAACTGTTAATGGCTCATCATCTTCATCATTATCATCATCTTCATGGGTTTTAAAGCTCTGAAATACCTTTTAAAGTTGCTTACTCCGAATTTAAGAAAGAAAAATAATTATACCATGGATGATCCTTACTTCGGCAGCAGTCTTAAAAAATAATGAGTATGTTGTACTATGATAATCACGTGTTTCACTTTCAATAACTCTACTTATTTGCATAAAAGCTTTAGAAGGTTTTATTGAAATTCTGTTTTCCTGTAATATATAATACAAGTTATTTGCAACTATTAAAACTAGATTTATCTTCATTCACTATACAACCTCCATTTCTGTTTTTATGTTCTTTGCACATATTGCAAGTAAATCACCATAATATCCTTCATTATATTGTGCACCCATTATGTTTAATTGTTTGGCACATGCTATCAAGGCGTCACATGCAAATGATATAGCTATAAAAAATGGTGAGTTTTTTTTAATCTGTATATCTGGTTCCTCTTTCTTCTTTTTATTATCGTTACATTTCTATAATTTAAAAATTTTCACATACTAAATAAAGTCACACATAATAAAGTCGATATAAATTATAGCTTCTCTCTCTCTCTCTCTCTATGATTTCAGGTCTGACTCAGTGACCCTTTTACCACTAAATTATAGCTTGTAATCATAACATTATAATAATGGCCTGGTTTATATCGTACACTTGATACACGTACTAAATAGTAACTTTCTATTAAATAATCTTAATATCGATAATGAAACAATGGTATATTAAACTGGTATAATACTCATCAAGAAGATGTATTATATCGATTAAATATGCCGTCGTTGATATGCATTGTCAATATTATAATATTTAATAGAAAATTACTATTTAATACGCGTATCAAGTGCACAATGCAAACCAGGCCAATGGAATATTCTACTTGATTGTACAACCTTAAGATTTTGCTGTTCTATATACTTTTGTGCATATTCTTCTAAACGCTTTTCAAAGTCCTCGTTTGGCTCCTTTTTTATATCCATTTCTATATGCTCTTCTATAAGCTCTTCTATATACTCTTCTGTAGGTTCTCCTAAATACTTTTCTATTATTGACATTTTATTATTCTAAATCGCAAACTTGGAAGACAAACTATTCCTTGAAATTTATCGCGCACACAAGAAATTTATATTTTAATGTAAATGAACGTCGAGGGTTCTAGCCGCGCTCCCTACTCGCATCACGCTGGCAACTTTAAATGTAAATAGAATATGCTGCAAGACTTCAATAGGGTTACACGATATTTTCCTGAAAACTAGATGAAAAAATGTTAATACTAACAAAAACCCTTAGGCAACACAATTTTAATTTCTGCGGATTAGTGACAGTTTGTTATTTGACACATATACACGCATATGTTAAAACGACTTCGAAAACTCATGGACTTTTTATGGTGCTGTTATATGGGACGAAACGTATGTGCAATGCGGAATGAACGGAATGCTCGTGATTGGCTGCGTTCGGAAAACATAGCTGTCAGTGAGCGGTCAGTGATTATTGGTCCTTACTGTTAGATCCCTAACTTTAAACCAATTACGTTGACTAATTACTCAACCGTTGTGCAACAGTTGTGTCTTCTGAACGCACCCATTGGCTCAACCTGTTTTACGTTCATTCCGTCGAAGTCGATCCGCAAGTTTATATTCTATCCGCACGGATTGATATATGGATATATGTTCTTTTCAGCTGTACTGCTGAACTAATGCAATAAATTGAAAGGAGACAAGTTTCTTCTTATTCTAATCTTTTGCATTAGTTCTTTTGCATTAGTTCAGCAGTGCAGCAAGAACAGATCATTAAATTATATCGCGTAGAGATTTTCTTTAGTACCAACATTATCCCCTCCACTTTTCGGGAAATTGTCGCCAGAGAACGAGCAAAATATGTAGAAAACATGCAGAAAATGCAGAAAACTCCTGAGACGTGCCCACTCTAACCTAAAATAACATTTCTTCCTTCAATATATAGTTTTAGGCAGCTTGCACTTTACCTTAATACTACACGATTTGAAGAGATATTGCGTACCACCGAAACGGTACGACTTCGCCAAAAAATAAATAGTTCGAAAAGGATCCTATAGAGACATGTACATACTCCCAGACGGTCGAACCAAGTCTTTTAAAATAACCTACCCAGCCACAAATGAAAAGTCGAATCGACGTCGATCCGACTTTTCATCATGATATTTATGCTTTATCTTATATACAAAACAGTTATAAAGCCAACCAATCAGAATGTTTTATTCATTGATTACTTTATTCTGATTGGTTGTCGTAATCATTTACACCATTTACGACCACGCTTACGCAATTGTAGAATAGCTCTAAAGAAGTTTTATGCAGCAGAAAACCTCATTTAGTTATCTACGCAGTAACTCGAGTTTTCTGCACATAAAACTTCACGCATAAAACGTGAAGTATTATGCGTACCCAACCCTGGTACCAAAGACGTTTTTTCGTTTCGTGACCACGATACTGTTTGGTTGGTTGGTTGGTTTAGTCCACTTAACGCTCGCAACGCCTCGAGCAACAAAGATAGAATGACGCTCATGGCGTTGCGAGCGTTAAGTGGACCAAACTAACCAACCAAACGCTACCGTGGTTATGAAATGAAAAGCACCTCAAATGACGGCCAAAAATCGCCTTAAGACGTCTTTAAAACGTCTTATGTTCCGATTTTAGACATTGTGATGTGTGAGTTTCACAAGTATATAATTGCAAATATCATTTTAATGATATATTTTTTTATATGCCATAGTTTACAGGAATTTTTAGCATAATTTTTCTCACTTCTAACGTCATCAATCCAATATCGCTACAATGATTGATCAGAGCTCCTATTCTTGAAATTTTTGCGTACACGTAATTTTCATTGTGCAGCTATTTTATGGTATGGTATTTTAAACCTGCGCAGTAAAATTTACGTATACGCAACTATTTCAAGAATAAGAGCTCTGTGCTGGGATTCTGTAACTCGTTATTGGAGTTAACGACAGTTTCGTTATCGTTGTGCAGTTTTTCTACGGTATATAAAAGTTGCGCAACGATAACGAAACAGTTGTACCTTCAATAACGAGTTACAGAATCCCAACACTGGAGTCTTAATTATTTTATTTCGTAGATATATATTACATTATTAAGTTATTACTATTTGAAACGTTAGGAAAACTTTATGATTACATGAATGCATTGCACATGCGCAGTAAATAAATTTTACGCGAGTATTCTAAGCACATTATTTTCTATTATAAATATACAAATCTCTGTCTATACAATATTGTATATATATTTATTGAACATTCAATTCGCATATTCGGGGATTAACAATATTTGTATTTCATAAAAATATTTGTAGAATATTTTATTTGGGGTACGGTTCAGCGGGCTCTGCAAATGCTTTGTAGCGTTTTTACTTCTTTCTCTTTCTTCATTCGAATCTGAGGAATAGAACAAGAGGAAGAAACACTGCACAGCATTTGTAGCGGTTGTTGGACCGCACTCTTGGATACGTGAAAATATAAAATACCGCTTTATATTACGATTATCTCTCTCTTATCATTATTTAATTATTTATACCGATTATAATTCTTGTAACATTTTACAATAAAAAGCAAATTTGATTTCATAAAATATAAATTAGCCGTTTAGTTATTTCTACGACTGCTAGAAGAGACTTTCATTATTCATCTTAAGCTTTCTGGCATTTCGCTGCGGTCATTTTGATGGAAGATATATTCAAGAAATAACAATCGAATTTGCAATCGATTAAGTATACTTCCAAGATACTTCAAATATTTTCCTTTTGTTCTAACAATCAATAAATAGCCGTAAAATTAATGCGACAAAATAATGAGGAAATATAGGTTAAAAATGAAGATTGCATTCTCTCTCTCTCACACACACACGTTTTATAATTATTTATTGATTATCAGAGCAAAAGGAAAATGTTCAGAGTAAAGGTGTACTTAATAGATTGCGAATATCATCTTTTGGATATAACTTTTTATTTCGACGTACTTCGCAAAAACTTTGAGCATATATTCCCTTGTTTCTGACATCATCAACCAAGACTGTTGCGGTAGGAGACTACGAGTCTCAAATCTTACAATGCTTATCCTTATCATATTCACTCGACGATAAATGTTATGTTCGGGAAAACAACAGAAGAAGTATAGGATGAGAAAGGATATCACATGTGTGTATAAAGAGGTATTTATTCATCATGTAATTCAGCCACACATGGCCGAATTTCACTGCACTACATCTCGACTACACTTGCGAACTGTGTATATCTTTTCTGTCGGACACGGTGTCGCGGCGTTTGCAAAAATTATCGCCGGCCGAAGGCTCATATACATGTTTCGTCTCATGTATAATAGTCCAACGAAAATACATAACACAATGGTGGAAGAAACGATTCAACCAGCCATAGTATAACAATTCAATGAGTGATACTCTGTAACGCGAGCGGCATTTAACTGCGACTCGGTGAGTAACGGTATGACAATCTTCTTAAATGTTATCAGTCTACGAATTTATGCTAAATCTTCGCTTACATAAAAGTATCAATATATTCGGATACAATTTGTAACAATACCCGCAACATTATCATTGCATTCACACAATCATTGCATGCAATATATATGTACATTTTATGAATAAAAATTCATCAATTTCACACAGGACTCATACCATATGCTGAGAGAAGAAACCAGGCGATCTTCGCTTGTACTTAGCCCCGCTTGGTATACTCTTGCGCTCGCGCCTTCTGTATAGCTTTGGTGTTTATCTTTAAAACCTAATCGGAACTCAGTATCTTCTAACGATAGTGGGGCTTGCGATTGCACGTTTCTTGCATTTATTACTACTTATTGTCTACTAAAAGTTCTGCGACTTTGCTCCAGCATTTCAAAGCTCTCTGTACAAGAGTGTCGAGCACTCTGCGCTATTAAAATTGAGCAATCCTAACAATAGAGCAACAATAAAGAAATATTTCTATATTTCGTAAAAAGATCGTTAACAAATGCATATAAACAATTCAGATTAAACTTGGATAAATGGTGTGTTTGACTACTTTTGCGCACGCGTGCACGTTCGAAGCTGTCGCGCGTATTCCGACCTTATGCTGCTGTCTTTAGCGACTTTGTGACATTATATATGCACATTATGTGTGCAATCGTTTATCGTTTGAGTGATATTTTCGCCGGTAATTCGATAGGACTCAATACATATCAAGCTCTATTTTCGACACTATAACAACTTTCAAATCTGGTCAAGTTTAAGTCACACTCAAAACGCGACACTGCCTAATTTGTATGACACCAGCTGCTGTTGTATACTATTTCATACTTCATCCTCAGGAACAAACAATTTCCACTACCTGAATGTCTCAGAGCGACTTTGTGATATTATTGAACAGTCGTTTACCCCACCAGGATTCTAAATCAAATGGTTTAAAATCTGAAACAATAATATTTATATTACACAGTGATTTTTCAATATTTTATATAATTTTAATTGAGTAATAAGTAATGATATATGCAAACCACCACATAATTATAAAATATTTTGACAGCATATCTTGGAATTTATTTTTATGAATAACATGAAGAATATCAATTTTTTTAAATGAAAATTTTAAGTATAAATAGTGATATTTACCTTGAAGACTATTATTTGGTTCACCATCATAATATACTATTGAATTAGGATCTGTAAAATATTCAATCATAAATCTACAATATTTTTTTTGTACTCAGTTCTATATTCTGATGCAATCTTAAGAAGCAAACAGTTTTGATTATATAAGTCATAAATTAATTTTAATTTATTTCATAACTACTTACTGCAAAATTCTGTACATTCTGTGCCATTGCAACACTCATTTGTTGGTCGTGTATTAACTTGATTCCAGGCTGTTAAGGATAATAAATTATATTGTTTGACATATATCTTTATATTTACATAAATCTTAAGCCTTCATATTTACATAATTTTTAATCCACAACTATTAATCCTTTTGCTATTAATTTTGTTTTTTAAAGATACATTTTACTTTTACTTAATTAAGTACATTAATCTAATATAGTTTTAATAATAAAAAATTAAAAGTTATATATTTGTGCTAAAAAAATAGAATTAGGATACTGATGTCCTATTGGAGTTTTTGGGAAAGCATATTTGTCTTAATGGTAACAAGTAGAGTAAACTGATAATTTTGAATTCCAAAAAAGCTGTTTATTTAATTGGATAAATTTATTAATAATGATAGGGAAAATATATATGCCCCATTAGAGCAAAAGTTAATTCTACATTCTCATGTGTGTTTTACCTACATTCATAAACGAATTTGATAAGTTCCTCGTGCTGCGGTGTGATAACTTCTTGCATCTGATGTCTTTGAGAGGTGAGCTTTGATTTGCCATTCATATGAAAAACTGGTTTTGGTACGTGACTGTGAACAAACAAACTAGATTCAACATAGGTAATGAGACAAATAATTTTTTCTCATCACGCAATGTTATACACGTGTCGTCTTACGCAACGCGTGATTGAGCATCTAGGATCAGAAATATTACAATCATTCACTATGGGGAATATAAAGTGGAACTGGTTTCTTTCCGCGTTATACGAATCGTAATAAATCTTGTTGAAAGTGTTAATGAGATTTGTATGTATGATGTATGCTACGTAACTTTGGCGTTTGTGCTTTCGCGAAGCAAATTGCGAATTGCGTAATGCTGAGAGAGAGAGACAGAGAGAGAGAGAGAGAGAAAAGTAAGAGAGAGAACGAAAGTATGGTTAGGAGAAAGAGAAGAACACGGAGGGAAGGAAAGAACGTGGGTACGGCGTTGACAAGGGATTAAAAAACCATTCTTACCGAGTAATTTCGTGATTGTCCTCGGGACCGGTCTTCCTCGTGAGATCGCGTAGTGTCTCTAACCTCTCAAAATTCTGATTGATCCCTGCGAAAAACGATAATTCGATTCAATCTCACTCATATTCCAAACGCACTTTTGAACACAGCGAATGTCCCCCGTGCTGGCGGAAGCGGGCATTGGGAGAAAATCCAAATTTAGTACCTCGTCGTGTTTTCGCTACGATCTTGCTAGGTCCCTTTGACACGGTATACATGATCCTCGTCGGCCAAGTGCAAAAATTCTCTCTCGCAAGCACAATACCAGATCATTCGAGACCTATCGTTTATCACGCTCGTGCTGTTCTTAAGCAAACTGTTGCAACTACCTCACTGATAACGTGTCAACCCCGGCGGTACTCCCGGCGAACTGTGGCCACGGCTTATAAAGCTAGGTTCCTATACCCACTCTCGGGTGCCTGCGTTCCGTAATTCGCATATGCACGTATTTATCTATAGTTTATGTTCTGTAGAAAATGCACGCATATGTATATTACGGAACTCAGCCTCAGTATCGCAAATTTATAGTTAATGCATATTCATCGTCGAAAGGTTGTTTGCTTTTTTTTTGTAAGTTTTTTCGGAACCTATTTGTCTTGTCCAATGAGAGAATTTATTTTCCAATAAAAAGAGATCTCTCATTGGACAAGACAGATAAGTTCCGAAACTTATAAAAAAAACCAAACAACCTTTTCGACGGCAAGTATATACTATAGATTTTCAGTTTTGGCGATAAATATCGGAGCGCAGATAATCACTGAAGATCACAGATTTCGATCGGAATAATTCCGTTTCCACTAAAAAACACAATAGAAATCTAGGGAAAATTGAATGATTCCGGCGGCTTTATTTTCGAAAAATATCGCATACGATATTTCTATAAAAAGCTATAGTTTATGTTACGTATACTACACCTGTTTATCGAAATATCGTACGCGATATTTTTCGAGAATGCTTGGTCTGAGTATATACGTCATTGATCCAAGAGTATTCCAGGTTAAATAATTATAAAACGTTTTACATGTACGTTTATCAAATATCGAGATTTTTTTAGAAATATTAGATACAATAAATATATTATTAATGTTTCAGCCATTGAAACATATTTAATTACTAGGACATTTATGTAACATTGGGATTAGTCTTAATGTATAAAATATATAAATATATGTAAAATTATAATATATGTAATATATGTAAAATATATGTAAAATTACTCATAATTTTAAAAAAATGATATATATTTCGTTTGTCTCACTTGTTTATTTCCAATAAAATTTATTCCATGCTAAAAATTTCAATAAAGTCAATGATGAAATATATGATGTAAATTTTTATTTAAAAAATATAAAAAAAAGAAAAAGAGCATAAAGTTTGATTGCGATATACAGTTTTATTATCTGCATAAGTGAAGAGTACAGATTTTCCTTATCAACTGCGAGTTCAGTCAATACAGGCACCGCAGGTGTACTTTTCTTAATCATCTAATCGCACTAGGTACGCGTAAATACAGTAAAAATGTAGGCAAATCAGATGGGAGGTACAACATTAAATGCAGATGAATAATAAAATCCTGAGGGCCGAGCTAAAGTATCACTTTTGAAATTGTAAATACAGAACATAGAGAAAAGATCTCTTGTCACTGATATACGGTTGCATTTATAATATATGACTCCAGAATATATTAATCATTTGTAATATTATTACATAACTGCAATATATATATATATATAAAATGATAGCAGTAATAATAATAAATTCATGCTACTAATTTATGTTAATAGTAGTTTCTACAATAGTAGGAATTACAATAGTAAAAATAATAATTAATTTGTGTAGAATGTATCTCTGTATAGAATGTCAAACAGTTAAGACAGAATTTACTTCAACATAGAAAAATAGTTTGTCAATATATAGATAAGAGCAATTGTCCAACTGGTTCCTCCATTCGAATATTCATGCATCGACTCGAAAATCTGACACAATTTGACAGTGTGATTTCACGTTTCATTCGCGGTTTCAAGGCATTATAATAGCAGGAATTTGTCATGTAACTTGGATATCTTTATGGACGCATTGTGTGTCGCTTATATACAAACATAAATTAGTTCTTAATGCACTATTATTATGTAATAGTCAGTTGTAATGGTTTGCAGAACTTTAAAGCAACTTATCCACATTATAACCATAGTTTTATAACAAAAACAAGATCTCGAACATGATTGTGTATTATCTGTTACGTTATTAAGTACGTACAAGCACAAAGCATCTCTTTTGCGTGTACCTTTTCCCCCCGCGTCTTCGTTTCTATCTTATTCCAACTCCTAATGTTAAAAATACAAATCGATATTTAAACTGTCGATGGTATTAGGAGTGCAATTTAATCAGAGGGAAAATTGAGAGATGTGTACCACCCAAACGAGCACACACTCTCAACAAACTCATCTTCCCGTTTTGCAACGGGAAGATCTCCGAGGTACTTAAAGAGCGAATAAAGACTTGTCTTGATCTTTGTTAATTTGGCGCTGAATGTTCTGGTTACCAGTAGTTGACGAGTTCGTGCTGGCAGTTGTTGTGGATAAGTTTGGTAAAGCTTCAGCTGCGGCTGCACGTTCCGCCAAGAATCGCTCAAATTCTGATGACGTCAGTGATTCTTGATCACCTTGCGCTCCAGGCTATAATACAGATATATATATACATACGTATATCATGACATTTTCAGCAAATTCATCATGGAAAATAAAACGTATAGAAACTTAGGTAATATTACTGAGACTCAGCTATGATTATGGAAGCGATTCACATTCGTACAGTACTTACTGTGCGATCTAACCAGGCTGCCATTTCATTGAATTCAGACTCCAGGTTCTGCTAAATATTCAAAAACAAACACAAACATTGAACGAAACGATAAAAAGAAACACAAATATGGTAATGTTGATGCAAACAAAACAACAGTAACATAATAAATATCACCATGCTCCTTTAAAAAGAATGAGTTTATGATGGCTAATATTTACACATATAAGCAAGATTTATGTTCAAAGAATTACCATACCTTTGTGGCCCTTTAGTACATATGTATGTATGTCTCTTAAACTTTATCTATAATATTTGCGTTTGAGACAACTTCAAATATTTTTCTTAATAGCTTTAAAAAATATACAGTTATTTATACAGTGATCTAATATAAGTTTTTTAAGGTGTTCTAGGGTTCCAAATAATATTACAAAATAATTTTAAATACTCTATAACATATTTGAAGCTGCCTTTTATAAGATTTATAAGATTTATAATAATGCTATCAACACTTAGATTTCATGATTACCCAGTCCAGTGTATTTTTAGGAAATTATTATTAAAATTAAAAATAAATTGTAGAGTTTGAATATTTATGTTTAACTATATAAAAAAGAAATAACGTAGATTTACGATTAACGAATTTGTCATGTAGGGAAAACTTAAGGAATCATGTTGATCCTGAAGGATTAGTTTAAGGAGAAAAAAAATGTTACGCACATTAGCATGTGTAGTAGATGCAGTCTGCTGTTGCGGCAATTTAGGATTATTGCGGTTGAGGATTGCTGTACTTAGGCTTCCTCCTTTCACTTGTTCCTGATTATCCTCGTACTTGCTACCACTGCAATCAGAAATATTAAATTATTATCGTAGAAACTAGGAAAATACGTATACTGAAGTAAAAATTAAGTAAAAAAGTTCGAAATAATTGAATATTAAATATATGTGTGTGTGCATGAATTGTGTATTTTCTTGTTGGTTTCATAAATTAATGTATGCTAATCGTACATTGCAGAAAATGATGGAGTTTCTTATGTTAGTATTTCTTGTTACGCTATCTTCTTATGATAGTGAAATTTTATCAAACAATATTCACTTGTATAGCATAAAATAATATATCAATAGACTATAGAAATAGACTATAGAAAACGCTGTTTTGATGAAAAGACTTTGACGATCTCCTGCCGTCATAAATGTAGTAGTTTCAACTACTACATAGTAGTGTAACAAAAACATATTGTACCTATTTTTTGTTGTCTCGTATGTTGCATTGCGTGACTGTGCAAACATGTCGAATTCGTCGCTCTCTCCTTCCTTCTTCTCTTTCCGCTCGACTTTGTTTTTCTCTACATCTTCTGCTGTAGCTATTGTGTTTAATAAAAAATAAAATAATATTTTATCAATCTTTTGGGAAAAAGTCCATATAGACACGGCTGAATATATGAATAAATCATACATGTTTAGTATAATTTTAGTGTTCAACGCAATCTTTTGTTCTATTAAATTATTATGATTTTATGCTCACCAAGTTCATTCATCTGTCTCGTTACGCCATCCATATCGTCAGACAAATCTATAAGCGAATCCCCTTCTTTTTTGGTAAGAGGTGGAGTCGATTCAACATTTGGTGGCTGTCCAATCGTTTGGGCCAATATAGTGCTTGCCGGAACTTGCATTTTGTTCTTTGTATAGCGCGAATAACGAAGAAAGAGATTATTTAACTCATCGTTAATGCGTAATAATTCTGCCGTCATTTCATCGTGAGCCAATTTGCCGATCAAATCGACAACACGAACTTGCATCGCCTTACATGTTGAATGAAGCTCCTGCAAATGATCATTTAAAGATGTGCATTTAGGCTTGCTAATAAAAATCTGCATATTGAAATTTACAAAAATAATCTCATAGAAGAGGAAAATACTTCAATATAGCACACACAACATATAAATTTTTATATAGATATGGGTGAATTTCAAATGAAAAGCAAATAAGATTCTTACAGTTAATAATTCAAGATCTGCAGAATCTGGTTGTTGGTTATTACTTTGGTCCGGACTTGTCAGATATGCCAACATTTCTGACAGTACACGCATGTTTCCTTGAACGACATCGAGCTCACTTTGTAGTTTGGCCATTTGTTGCTCGTTCAATTGAGTTAACTGGCCGACGGATTGTGTCTGTGTTGGTAAATGTTGCGTTCCTAATGACACAGGCTGTTCGCTCATACCCAGGAGCTCTCTTGCCGGAGCTTGCTCTGTTTCAGGTACACTCTAGAAAAGTAGTATTAAAGGAAGATTGGTTAGGTGTGTATTCAATGAAATGAATAACAGCATAGTTTCACTTGGACAGAGAGCTCACTCTTTCTGGTGTAATAATCGGTGCCATAGCATCCAGATCAGTCATTGGGAATTGTATGCCCTTTATTTTTAACTCTTGATAAATCTGCACAACACCTTGAGTATGTGGCTGATGGCGGAATGTATCTGCCCACGTTTGGATCAAACTCAAAATTTTCTCTTGTACTGCAGTGGGTGGTTCATTCTTTGGACCAATTAATTTAACCAGCTCCTGCACAAATTCTCTCGAACAGGCATGAGTGTGAAAACGTTTCCCACAATTTTTTACACATGTCTCCAATACCTATCAAATAACATTATCCCAATCACTTATACAACAGCACAGCATACATACCAACATGATAATCGCAATAGACATTATCACAGTTCTCATAGATATAATAACACACAGTTCTCATAGATATAATAACACAGCCTACTGAATCTAATTGGACTAATTATGTAAATTGACTGAAGGTCAGCAGTATCAAACGATACTTGATTATAGTACTTGCAATATTACTTTATTGTTACAAATGCTCACAAAATTGATGTATCATGCACATAGTTGCAACTATACAAAACAAACTGTGCAAACTTCATCGTATTTATTTGACATAGCTCTACACATGCAATATTTTGTAACGGTTTAATACTAACAGTAAGCGTATACATGACTATAGTATAATTTTTGCCTGCTGCTTGAGTAAGTCTGCGTTTGATCGCCTTGATAGCATCTCTTGGCCCATCCTCAGTTTCATTTATAATGTCACATATCTCCATATTAAGCGTCCAATTCTCACTTGGTAAGTTACCATCTGTAGCAGACTCTGTAAGAGCAAAATGGGTAATATTCAAGATACACCATGGAATGTGCTGTTACACAGGTAGTTTGTTCAGTGGCTAATGAGTGACAACATTCTCCTTCGCAGTTATATCATTTTCATTAGAGCAGAGGACAGAAGAAAAGTCGTATTTGTAGGTATACACTCATGAGTCACTGTGCGAACGATTGATTTCTGTCTCTCTCGTGCCGGAGGCGAGAGCCCAGAGAATACGTAAAATCTACTTGACATAATCCAATAACGAGGTGCGTAAATAAGGCGTTTACCGATCTTTTGTCCTACTGGCGTGGAAAAGGGATTGACTATTCCGAAAAGGGACATTTTCTCGGAGAGCGTAGGACCTGCGTTGACTGCGTTTTCTGCCGCGCGTATTCACTCGCACATATGTAACGTCGCGGCTGATAATCGCTGACGGTGACACAACGCGCACTGACAATCCGTCAATTTCTTGTAACTCCAAATGACAGAATCATATGACCTACGCAACGGTACAGGCGGACATCAAATCCCAAACGTCACGGAATTACGCGACCGGCCAATCGGAGCCGCGTCTCGACGTTGTGGTTTCGCAATAAGTGCCGAACGCCCTTTAAATAGGTCCGATACACCTTGCAAGTTGCGCTTTCCGCACTTTCTTGCCCTTCCCTCTTTTCGTTCACGACGGGGCGCGAATACGCTCGCCCTTCTCGAGTGCAGAAGTGTAACGAAATGCAGGTAAAGATAAAGCTATAAACAGCGTGTAATTGGCTCATAGCGTGTTCGAAAATTCATTGTGCGTCTTATCTCGTTTAACTGTATTCCTCCAAGTCACTCAACGATTTACTATTCCACATAAAAGTGTGGATAATTCTGGAAATAGAATCATTGCGAAATCGTGCTCATGAAAGAAACGCATTTAAAGACCAAGAGATCGAACGTGCTTGCTGAATACAGAAAAAAATGTTCTCGATGAGAATCTCGCTGAAAATAACGAGTGCACAAGAGTGGATAATTTTAGAACAAGCTTCTCTCAAGTCTGGAAGTGCGTATGACAACTGCACTTGAAACTTTTTCACTACTTCGCACAATGTATTAATTCAATCGTTGTTGGAGAGACAATTTAGACTAGATACAACAGCTTATTTTCGCTCAATGACATATATAGTATATTTTCTAAATAATAAATAAGCTATATGAGCTAACCTCGTATATCAGAAAATTATAAGTAAAGGCTTATCGTGGCATATTTATATTTATATGGCATTAAAAATTTTTATGTTTGTTACGATACATACGTTAAATTATTTTAGCAGAGAGAGAGAGAGAGAGAGAGAGAGAGAGAGAGAGAGAGAGAGAGAGAGAGAGAGAAAGAAAGAAAGAATTACATTTATGTCTATATTTTTTTAAACTTTCATTATAAAAAGCGCCTCTAGTGATTTATAAGGCTTTTGATTAACAATAAGCTACTTTTAGAAACACTTTTAGCGATAAAGGGATTCAGAATACGCGTATTTATATTTATAATAATTTAGAATCATTTAATAATTTTTCTACTCACTATCGAAACAGTTTAATAGAAAATAATGTGTGTATAATAATTCTTAATACTTGATATTTCTCAACGCATGGGAAATTAAATATAATTAAATATAATTAAACATATATATATTTACAATTAGAAAGTTTTTAAGCCATTCAGTCATATAAAGATTCAAATTGCGTCGAATATCATTTGATACAATTTCCGAAACAACTGCGGACTTAAACATTTGAAATCATCCAATACATATGAGCTCATCGCATGGTAAACATAGGATGAGTCATCGCAAATTATCATATCTATCATGTCTACGATGCGCATTTCTACACTTAAAATAGGACATTTGCAACTCACAGCAGCGAATAGAATAGGATAAGAATAAAAGTGCAATATACTGGAGTGTAGACCGCATATGCGGCGTGACGGACCAGTTCAAGGGCAGACTCTTATGCAAATTTATTGGCTCCATTGCTACAACGTAGAAAATGGGAACCAATAAAAGTGTGTTATTCGCCGAAGCGGTGTGACGTTGTTTTGCCGCACTAATTGCAAATCGTGCCGAAGCTCAATGATATTATTGTACTGACGTACATTGCCTTGCCATTTCGTCTGATATGTATTAAAACGAAGTATCACGAATTTGATCATAAAAACATTTTAGGGAAGCGCGGAACCGAGAATCGCTTGTGAATTATCGGAATAATTTAACGCGGAATAATTATCGGCAATTGCACTGAGAAAAGACAGTTTCCACGTGAGAACCACCCAATTGTGCATTCAAGTATTCAAGATGCATTCTTGTCTTATTCAGAGTAGAAAATGCACATACAATTGAAATAGGCGTCAATAATGCATAATAGGTGCAATTTCCGGATTGCACGAGTAATTTTGTTCCATGATTTTTTTTTGCAGTGTCATTGTAATCAAGATCCTTCATGACATCAGCGGAACATTTTATTAGTCTTATAACAGTAGCAAGTGCAAAAAAATTAGCCACTGCGCTTGTTGTCTGCTTTATTATATATCATGGAGTTATACATCTTATTTATGGTATAGTAGAAATATTAGATTACTTTAATATATAGTGATTTCTTTATTTATTTCATATACTGTTATCAGAAAGTTCTTCTGTTAGACAATAGTGTTTTGTATGATATTGATTGTTTGACATTAATTGTATGATATTAATTGTCTTTTTAATTATTGTTGAACTTTTTAAAAATGTCAAGTCATTAATAATCTTCTTTATGTCCAAAGGCAGCGATTCTTGCAAATGGTTATTGACAGAAGGTAGATATAAAGGAGATAAAGAATGGCAACCATATGGATGCATGATGCATCATTATACACAAACGTAAGATCATCCTTAAAATAATTTAAATACTTTTTCATATAAAAAGAAGAGTTATTTTTATAATTTTTATATACAGAGACAGCAGAAGATGTATGCGATATCTAGCTTTCATGGGCCACCATAATCATTTTGTATTTATTGGTGATGCTAGAGTAAGACAGTTGTATAAATCCTTTGTCTCCCAATTTATGGTTGACGGCAAAGCGTCAGATCTCACAGAATTGCCTGAGAATTCAGACTTGAGCTTCAATGATGGGCAACTTAAGTTAAATGTACAATTTTTATGGAGACCACGACTTGATAATTCTATGATAATGGACCTCAGAGGCTGGATGGTAACATGTATACATTATATATATTATATAAGTTTATCTATACAAAATTATTATAGATGAAATAGTCCAATTTAATGTATCCTTCATATTAGAATACAGACGCACCTAGTGTAATCGTCGCTGGTTCCGCCGCAGCTGTAATTCTGGCAAATAATAACAGCGATACCCAGCTTTATTCAGAATATAGTACTGGTCTGATCCGACTGGTACAGCCAGTAGATTTCCTGGCTAAGAAGGGATCTCAGTTTCTGTGGCTCTTGCAAGATCCTGTGCTAAAAGAAAGACTGCCTGCACAGTTGTTGAGTTTGGAGAACAAACAAATCAATCTGTGCAACAAAGCAGCAGAAAAGGTAACACCAACTCAATAGAATTCTTCTGGCATTATAAAGGAAAAATTAAATACTTCATAATCGCCACACACAGATATTGTCTCATAGTGAGGCTCACATATGGCAAAGCAGTAAACTAGTCGGTACAGGTGTCCTTGAACAAAGTCCAGACGGCTATTTGGCAAGTCCATTGTCACTCCGTCATAAAGTTCAGATACTGTTGAACACGTACTGCAACGACCATATGAATTTTGACGATGGCAGCTGCTGCAGTTATCCCGAGCCAGCAACCACTTTGCAACTGCTAAGTCTGTCTGCGCTTGCCTTATGGTAAAGAATTGCTTGGTTATTTATTTGTACACATGCTAACAATGTGCTTTACGAAGAAAGTGAGTACGATAATTTGCCGTAGTATAACAATAGGAGGAGCGGTGTGGCTGTACAGAAAGTTTTGCAAGTATCGTTCGGAGATATTTTACTCTCACGTTACCACTGAGGAAGTAGAAGATGCGGAAGAAGCGGGTACTTCGGAAGTCATTCAAATCAGACAACCTGAGGAGCAAGATTTTTACACTCTCATCACGTCATTGGCCCTTTTCTCGATTATATTGGCATATTTTTACTTGTGTGACAGGTAAACGATAGCATGTTTAACCGAGTCTGTAATTTTATCTGTATACTGTACATACAATATATTTAATAACTTTCCGTTTATACTCTATATTTTATCTGCAGAACAAATTTCTTCATGAAGGAGAATAAATATTACAGCGAATTCAGCTTTTGGCTACCACTTGGGTATATCTTAGCTCTTGGATTATTCTTTACTGAAGATCGTGAAAGAGGCCCGAGCGCGTTAAATAGAGAGCAAACGGATGAATGGAGAGGTCTGATGCAAGCGGTCGTGCTGATATACCACGTTACCGGTGCCAAAAATGTCTTACCCATTTACATGTACTTAAGATTAATTAACTCAGCTTATTTATTCTTATCTGGATACGGACATTTTTGTTATTTTTGGCAAACTGGTGATGTGTCCCTTGTTAGATTTGCCAGAGTATGTATCGGGAAAGTCATATTTTCTAATTGATATCGTCAGCTATATTTTTGTTTATAAACAAAACGAATCTCTATGTTTTAGGTCATGTTTAGACTAAATTTATTGACGGTATCGCTATGCCTCTGCATGAACAGGCCGTATCAGTTCTATCACTTTGTGCCGTTGGTGTCGTTCTGGTTTCTGGTGATCTATTTTCTGGCCTGGTTGCCACCTAGAATATACTCTGGAAGTTTGGCAGAATATGGTCCGAGGGTTTTATTGTACTTCGCTCTGAAGCTTTTGGGACTGGTGTCGATAATCACAATACTGTATATGTCAGAGGTAATACTTTTTTCTTTAGTATATACGATTCTTTGAATTACGAAGCATAACGCGCCTCATTAGTGCAGGTGTTCTTCGAAAAAGTTTTCGTCACGAGGCCTTGGAAAGCGTTATTCGTAACGACCGACGATGATATTCGCGAGTGGTGGTCTCGTTGGAGAGTCGACAGGTACAGCGTGGCTTGGGGTTTGACCTTCGGAGCTGGCCTTGTAGCTCTTCAAAGAATAGACCATATCCCAGGCACTGCTCTATCTTCTCTGTTGGCGTTGGTTTCTCTGATCGCGTACACCACCTTCACGATTTTGTGCCATTCTGTATCCGAGTGCGAAGAAATCCATTCTTACGTCGCTTTTATTCCGGTAAAACATCTGGCTTTTTTTTTTTATTGCTCTTTCAGTTGTAAATCTAATTATCGTTTGATTGTAGATTATAGGATATATCGCTCTGCGAAACGCGTCGCTGGCACTACGGGGGAAACATTCTGCGCTCTTGGCCGGCTTGGGTAGAATAAGCTTGGAAACTCTAGTCGCACAGGGTCACATATGGCTAGCGGCGGACTCGCACGGAGTGCTCGTATTATTACCGCGATTCCCAGTATTAAATCTATTGGTCACATCGTTTATTTTCATTTGCGCCAGCCATGAAGTAAGTACCAATTGCTTTTTCCATTACTAAGATATGAGATTGTAATTTCAATAAAAAGCAAAATCTACATTATCTGATGGGAATTTTGTTTTTCAGATTCATAGATTGACGCATGTATTGGCACCATATGCGGTACCAAATGACTGGAAATTAGTAGCTCGCAATTTGCTATTATTCATCACTGTGCTGATACCTATCGGCATTCATGATGGAATGTTTTAAAACATAGGACTGTTATCTTTATAAAAATCAAAAATATTAGCAGTATTAACATGCAGTAAATACCCAGATAGCCAAACCTGCGCGAACAGATTTCGAGCAGAGCTTGCTATCAACTTTTGATGGCAAATAGATAACAAATTTGATGCAGGATCTGTTATATCAAATCTTGCTGCCAAATTGCCGCCAGATATGCGGCAGAGCTTGTTGTCGGATAATTGCTGCAGATTTGCAGCAAAAACCGCGCAGAGCTTGTAGCAATTTGACGGCAAATTGGCGGCAGAAATCGCGCAGACCTTGCTGCGCTGCAAGCTTTGAGCGGTTTTTGCTGCAAATTTGGCACCAATTGCCCGACAACAAGATCTGTCGCCAAAACCGTAGCCTAATGTAGACACAGATGGCTATGGTTTTGCTGTGGGATTTTGACTAAATTTGCTGCCAATCTGCGCGCAGTCTGCGCTCAATTTGCTTACTGGGTAAGATTTCATATCATGTAGCATGATGAATAAAGATGAGAAACAAAGATTAGAAAAATTAAGTAAACAGATATATCATGCTATTCTCTTATAAGATAAAATAATAATTTTATATTGCAATATATGTTAATTAATGAGACTACAGTTGAATTACTTTAGAAATGTCAGCTTATTTATTTGTACATTATATCTTATTTGTGATCCACACAATTTACTATTTTGTACAATTATTCAATCTTTAATTACAATCTATGTATGTAGTATGTAATATATCTAATTATAAATATGTCATTGTATGGAAATCATATAAAGCCTGACCTTTGCAGGAAATAATCTCTACACAGAACAAGAATCTTTTAATATGAGCAAAACCTCCTGAACAATGGAGGTTTTATTTGTTACCTAAATTGTGCTTTCGTGTTGATAATTTTGCAAATTCAACTAGTCAATACAAAGCTAATTGTTGGTTATTTATACATTGTGTTTTACATGGCTTGTATATATATCATAACCAAGGGATATTGTATTGTCATAGAATACTCTATATCGTGTCGGAAGGAAATAAAAATTAATGACTTGTGCCGGAGGCCATATGATCCATTCAGCTATATACAATTTGTGTGCTTTTGTTTGGATTTCTTCTTTCAATTCTGCCAGACTGCTGTTCTCTAACACAGCTAATGTCAAGAAAAACAAACTTATACAAAGAGGCGAACAAATTAATTGATCTATAACCACCTTTTTTAGAACTATACCAATAGTACGTCCAGCCATTTTAGCATCCAGGAAATTGTACCAGTAATGGCAAAGTATACCAATAGACATACCAGATATGGCCATGTTTCTTGTTCTAGTAAAACTCCATCTATCCCATTGGCCCTAAGATGAAAAAAAGTTATTCTGATATTATAAAAATCATAGAAATAGAGTAACTCCACATTTATTGAACCTTTGATATTTCATAACGCTGCTCTAGAATATCTCCTGTACCAGACAGAGAGACTGATATTCCTACATTTGTATATAATAAATTTTTAGGTGAAAATAAGCGTTTTTTTATAACATTTATTCTACCAAAAACTAGTCCTATTCCTCTTGTAATATTCATCATCTAAAATATAAAATATTACTTTAATTGTTACATTATTCGATTTTAATTGTGTGTACTAATAACATTGTAAAAATTTTTTACTGCAATAATTACGATAAAAACCAAAACAAATCCAATTATTTATTTGAAAAAACAGCTTTGTTATTTTATTCGTGTTATTGTAAATAACTGTGAATTATCACATACCACAATTTGATTTTCAAGAAATTAAATATTCTAGTTATTTAATATACATAATATATAAAATAATGACTATATTACAACGGATAACGAATAAAATTAGGAGTTATACAAATAATCACACGTTACAGGCACCCATTTGGAGCTACAGCTAACCAACATTTATGAGTGTAGTCCACACAGTGTTTCAAAACGCTACGGAATGTGTACAGGTCTATTCTGTTTAGTTGATGGATAGAATTCTCCTAAAGTCCTTAACTTTTCTTCCAAATACCCAAGAAATTCACTATCTGACAGCCAATTAGAGCGGCTGACAAGCTTGTCATACGACACATGTAATATTAGCCTAAGTCTGAGAAAAAGTATATTTGTTTCACTTTAACTTATTGCACTAGTTATTGCAGCTAAAAAGAATAGATCAGCAATCCGAAGTAGTATAGAACTTTGCAATCGGACGAATTAAATAAAGCAGAACTAAAATTAGATTACACTTGATTGGTCCGATTGCAATTCTCAATCTATAGTCTGATAGGGGCATAAAAAATTCTTCAGACAAAATAATAAAAATTTTCCAGATATAAAATTTCAAAATGTGGCAAATACTTACATAATTGTGATAAGTTAATAATTTTATTTTAATAATCAATTTTATCATTTGATCGCGTTTGTTTTTACCAAGTATATATAGGAGATATATTAACCTTTCAGACAATACATCAATTAATTAATTTGTGTGTCATGTAGTCAAAACTTATCAGTAGAGTGTAATGACCGGTGAAACTGAAAGAACAGATAGCGGCTAAGCGATCATGACTTATCGCTTAGCCGCTATCTTACAATTGTTACGACTTGACGTGGCGAAACCAGGCAAAACGCGCAAATACACGTATGAATGTATGTGGATAGGCTAAGGAAACTTCTGTTTATCGTTGACGTGACTTTAATTAAACGATGTGCCTCGTAAAGTACTTCAGATATATGAAGATGATATACATGAAGAAGCGATGCTGACTGGGATCAAGTGATTCTTGTTGGATCGATTCTCACAATCTTTGATAGAAAGCTGCAGTGACAACTTGTGCGGGACGCCTTATCGCAATTGTATCGATAACGTGTCAATATTATGTAACTTTATCATGATACATCCGATAGTTTCGCGACACAACCAGGTCAGTATATCTTCGATCATTACAAAGTGTGGTTAAACATAAGTGTTAAATTGAAGTTCATCACTCCCTCTGGTACACTGTGAAGGTTCTAGCCGGCACTCTTGACAACTCTTTTGAAAGCTCTCCCGATAGCCTGCACGATTTTACTTGTAGATATGTTATATATATGTTTTCTATTAATCCTTTTTTAGAGATCTGCAATTTCCTATCAGAAACTTATTGAACTATGTTTAGTTCTTTTTTCTCTGCTGGAATATTTATATAGAGCTTATTATTAATGTTACACAAGGCAAATGTTAATTACAAAGCTTTTTCTAAGAATTATATGTACCATATACTTATTAAATGTTATGTTATTTCTTAAACTTGAGTATGTTATATTACAACTTAACAGATGCATGTATCTGACAATATTATGTATCATAATGTTTGTTTTCTCTTATTCTTTTTAATAGCTTAAAATAAATTTTGAAACTTTGGAGAGAGAGAAAGAAATATATAAAGCACCTATTCCTTAGATTGCACGTATTTGAAAATACAATGATGTATTATTTTTGAATGAAGAAGAATTAGATTTATAAAATATATAAGATTAACAAATAACAAACACAGCACGACATAATAAGCAATGTCAAGCAAATCTTGGAATGTTCTGGTGACGGGAGGTGCTGGTTATATTGGTTCTCATACTGTCTTGGAATTATTGCAAGCAGATTTTCAGGTGGTGGTTATAGACAACCTAAGCAATGCACATAAAGGTGAGGCTGAACAGGCTATTCTGAGCTACGGATATAAATTGTACATATACTGCACTCTATAAAACCAAATCATACAAAGATAATACAATATTATATGTGTTATTGTTTATTCTATATAATGATTTATTCTATTTAATGGTGAATTTCCTAACATATTTCTTTTACACATACACAAAGGATATAGTAAAATGCAAATAAATAAAAAATTTTGATATGTTTCTTCTTTATATATATTATATGGTATAATATTTTATTAACATAACAGATGCCATAAGCCAAACAGAATACACATATTTAATACATATTGTTATATACACTACAAATTAATTTTTTTCAGATTTTTTATATTGTTTTTTCCATACTTACAGATTCAAATTCTGAGAAACCAGAATGTCTTCTCAGAGTAGAAAAATTGATAAACAAAGATATTACATTTGTTAATTGTGATATTGTGAATATTAATGACTTGAGAAGTGTATTTCAAAAGGTAATAAGTATATTTAATATAAATTGGCTCACAAATTTGTTTATATGTGTGAGAGAGATCCAAACTTAAGAATTCTAACATCAAATTACAGCACACATTCCATTGTGTTATACATTTTGCCGCATTGAAAGCAGTTGGAGAATCATGTCAGAAACCACTTGAATACTATAAAACCAATGTCACTGGAACTATAAATTTACTGGAAGTTATGTTGGAATATAATGTGAAGCGTTTCATTTATTCCAGCAGTGCCACAGTTTATGGTGTACCTGAGAAACTTCCTTTGATGGAAAATATGAGGACTGGCGATTGTACAAATCCTTATGGAAAAACGAAATTTATGGTTGAAGAAATATTGAATGATTTGTGCATATCAAACAAGGTTTGTATTACAATCAATCACTTGTATTTCATTATAATAAGATACATTATTTCCAGGAATTTTCCGTTATATCATTGAGATACTTTAATCCTGTTGGTGCTCATCCTTCAGGTCAGATTGGCGAGGATCCTAACGGTATTCCAAATAATTTAATGCCCTATATTGCACAAGTTTCTGTTGGGAAGAGAGATATATTGTATGTTTATGGCAATGACTACGACACGCCTGATGGCACGGGTATGTCAGAGAGATTTACACATTTTTAACAGAAGATATAATAAGATAAAAGTGTCTTAAAGAGAGCAGTTGTGTAGTTCTTAAAATTTATAAAGAAAGACATATTGAAAAGAGAAATGTATGTTGATTATAATTGAAATATTTCTTTTAATTATAGGTGTACGTGACTATATTCATATTATGGACTTAGCAATAGGGCACGTAAAAGCAATGATTTATCAAAAGAATAATAATCCATCTGGGTTTAAACCAATAAATCTTGGTACCGGTAAGGGTTATTCTGTGCTCGAAGTTATAAGCGCATTTGAGAAAGCATCTGGGAAGAAAATACCATATAAAATAGTCGAACGTAGACTTGGTGACATATCTGCTAGTTACGCGGACGCTAGTGTCGCTAAGAAGGAACTTGGCTGGGTTGCCATGAAGAATATGGATGATATGTGTAAGTTATATTAACGATTGGATTTATAAAAAATATATAGCGCGCGCGTAAAATTAATTCCCTTGAAATGAATTATAACGTTATAGAGATTAAAATTATTATTTCACAGGTGCAGACACCTGGAGATGGCAACAAAGTAATCCAAATGGTTACAAACACTGATACATATTATCTTTCGTATCTAAGTGACTATAAGGAAAAATGTTATATTTTATCTTTCATATCATCAGATAGATGATGAAACCATGGTGGTATATAGTTACCAAAGTTTAGACCAAAGCATAAGAGAGAAGTAGTTATTTATCTTCTGTTATATTAAGCGATTCTAATATGAATTTACGAATATTTTAACATTTATATATGAAATTAAATTTTATAACTACGATATGCTGTGCCATTTTGAAAATCTGAATATCGCACATTATATGAAAAATGTGTATTGCGATAGAAATATACAGTCTCCCAATAAGTACAAAAATTAATACTTTATATGTACACTATACATATATTAATAATGTAAGAGGTGTAAACTAGAAATATCGATACACATAAATAAAACAGCTTTACAATTTATCACTAAATGATGGAATTTTTTGTTATATGTTTGAGTAATCAATCGATACTCTTGATAATACATCTTGAAAACTTGTATATTAGAGTAGTTAAAACTTTTATAATCGATATTTAAAATACTAAAACGTATCGCACGAAACCTGCGAGTATGTATAAGATTTTTTAGAATAGATTTATCACGTTAATTCATGATAATCAGTAAACATCCAATAACATCCGTCATATATTTCACTTCCCTCTAATCACAATTAAATTTTATTTTTAACGAAAAGAAACAGCAATATTAATTGTACGTTTAACAGTCACTTTATTTCATTGCATATAAAGCGCATACAAAATATATACACATATGTTATCATTACTTCGTTGGGCATTTTCACTGAAAAAAATCCCATTACAAAATGTTATATAAATTCGTATAAATCTATATCGATCTTCGACAAAAATGGGGCACTATGCTCGGTCAAAAAGTTTATTCATATCTTGTATAAGGAGAACATTCGAGGCACTTACATGTAAGATATAAATGCATCGCATTCATACATGAGAAATAAATTGATATACAGGTTTACATTACGTTCTCTTTTTATTTTATATATATATATATATATTTTATATATATATATATATATATATATATATATACATATTTAAATCTACATCTATTTTATAAAAACCGCTTTTCGTTAAAATCCTGTCAACAATATTGTAATCGAAGTAGTCGTAAATGTAATTCAGGATGCTTCAAAGTACTTTTACCTTGTAATATTACATTCATAATTAATGTTATCATTCTCTCACTACAATCCAGATGTTTTGCAAAGCATCCTGAAATAATGTAGCTGCCGTCGTACTTACCACTTTTCGGATTAATAAATATAACAGCATATTTTGCTCAACAAAAAAAAGAAGGTTGCATTGTTTCAACCATGTAAAATAAGAAAATTGTAATATATTAGAATCGAATTATACTCATAGTTATTTCTATGAATATAATTTTTATAATTATTACGCTATATATATTATAATTTATATATCTGTGTGTATACATAATATAATCTATTAATGGCGCTGCTTTACTCAACAACCACATCTACGGTGTTTCCTGCATCAGGACCTTCGCACAAGAACATCCGCAACACGTTGCGTTAATTTAAGAATAAACTTACGTGAACGCACAAAAAAATCCGTTATGAAAATCCTTTCTTACGTTACGGATTTCTTTGTGCGTTACATAAGTTTATCTTTAAATTAACGTAACGTGTTACGCGGGTGTTCTTCTGCAAAAGTAAAATTCTATAGTTAGGACTTTTCAGAACGAGATATACATATATCCTTTGTTCGCATAAGAACAATCTTACTTCTTATCAGTCTAATAAAAAGTACGTTTTTATCTTGGCTGTGTCTGATATAATGCACACTCGTATTGTGAACACAAGTTACAGTTGTGATGTTTCCACGTTTCAGATTGTTTTTCTCATATTACATATTCAAACAAATGTAGAATCATTCAACATATTATTATACTCTTGCTTTGCGAATCAGGTACCTTGCATAAATATTTCTACAAACGAAAGAAATATTTAGAAGCGAACTTTTGACGATGTAACCAAACTATTTCATGTGTGAGTTTATGTAGCACCATGTTCGCATCTACATTAATATAGAGCAAATATGTATGTCTCAATATAATTATTGCTGTCTTCGCAAAGAAAGAATTCGCAGGCTTTATCACCAGAACACGCATATAACATGACCATAAATGATCATCAATATTACAACAGTATACCTAGAAACTGTAACAAATGAACCACAGAATACTGCACAAATTGTACAAAATGTGTACATCTTATAGCGAAATAATTACATGTTACAAATTAGAATATCAATTAAATGTCAAATGCAGAGTATGAATGACATCATGGACTTATACAAAAAGATAGAGACTAAAGACTTGTTTCTAGAAAGTGCTACAGACAATATATCTTTATTAAACTTGACTTCTGGTCAATCTACATGTATAAGTCTATGAAATACATAAATTATATTTTTTGTCATAAGCTCTTGTAATGGCAATACCTTTCAGTAACTTGTAACTTATTAAAACTCCTAGTTTCTCGTCGTGATTATCTTGATTGATGATGATAGAAGCGAAAAAATATATGCTCAAAATTTTTGTGCAAGATAAATAAAAATAACAAGGTATATCCATAAAATGACACTTGCGATCGCGATTAAGAAAATATTTAGAAAACTTCCCTTTTGTTCTTAATTGATTAACCATCAATATAAATAATATACAATAATAATAATTATATTCAGAGATAATAATTATATAATAAGGGTAATTAGTAATCAATAGTGAAATTGACGTGACCAATTACATAATTAAAAAATAAATCACATATCACGTTAATTTTACAGCAATTTTACTTCTTGTATCAATGCAAGTGCCATTTTATGTGGACTATCTTTTTATTTCAATATATTTCATAAAAATTTTTAAAGAATATTTTCTCGTTTCTAATACCATAATACCATTAATCAAAACAGCTACTACAAAGAAATAGGAATTTCAATCATGAAGTATGGTCAAATACGATGAAGAAAGTATCAATAATAGTATGCCTTCAAATGTCTATGTAACTGCACTAATAATACTTTATATAATTTAGTATGCTGTAATTCTTTTCTTAAATTTTATGCACATTGCTGGAATATTAGATGTAATTTGATACTTTTATGATGAATGAAGTATTACTAAAGGATTAATATATGTTTTATATGCAAGATGATTATCATAGTACGCGCATTAGCGGAGGTAGTATTTTCGAACAATGAGAGACAATAGTCTTAAAATAGAAAAATTAATATTTCGCGTCTATAGCTTAGTTTTGTCACTCGCAATTCGTCAAACTCGCAACCACATGTAGCAAAAGTATCACAGAATACGATGTTCTACTGTTTGCTCTTGATAACGGCACTTAAAAATACTGCATTGTTTAATACTACTTGCACACATACAGATATAGCGATATCGATGCAGGTTTGCGAGTCTCATCTCTTCGCGATAATATCCGTACGAAAATATACGATTTCCTTAAGTATTTTAATGTTAATTTATGCCATATCAAACGCGGAAATATATAGCGAATTTGTGCATATGTAAGTAAAATCTCGATACTGATTCTTTGTCTCTCGCTGAAACAGCGACGATGCATCTGATTCTACCATATCGATGGCGAGTGAGTCTAGAACGGCAAATGTCAACAAATCTTGATCATGGCTCGTAATACGACGTATACAATATGTTCCACAAGATAGCCGCGGTCATGAGACCCGTGTAAGTAAACATGCTAGCCCACCAGACGACTTTCTCCCAAGTCTTCACCTCGAGATTTCGGAGCACGTTTATACCTACTAGAAGTCCCGCTATGGCACCGGCCAAGTGGGCTACGTAACCGACTTGGTCGTTGGTGTCTAGAACATAACGATTCCACACGGCTTGACCGACATCGACGCTGGTGACGACGAGGAACACTAACAATTGCAGGACGGCAAATTCCATTTGCGACCAATTCATTATAATCGTCGCCACGTGAGCGGTGATTAACGCATATACTCCGCCTGACGCACCGGCTAGATAAACCGTCGGATCGGAGACGGATGTGCCGAGCGAGCCGGCCACCACTCCGGCTATGTATATGATCAATACTCTCCACCATTTGTGTACCATCTCCAGAGGAATGCCCAACATAATTTGTACCAGTAAATTAACAACCAAATGGAAGACTCTGTCGAATACGAAAATGCGAAAACATTAGATTACAATTGTATTGTAATTGACAGATGAGACATCAGTTATATATCAGTAATAAATATTATATAGTAATAAATTAATTGTATAGAGTGATAACATAACGTTCTACATTTGACTGATATAACACTGATGATATTAATGTAATTGATTTGATAATTAATCAAATAAAATATTACTGCTGAGTTTGATCTTAACTTTACAGAGGAATGTTGAAAGATAAGAAAAAAAAGAAAAGTGCGATACGTACCCGACATGTACGAACATATACGTTAGATACCGCCATGCTTGGTACCTCTTGTGCGGATTATAAATAAATAATATAGCCGCTGGTCCTTCTACAGAAAGAGATTTGTGCTTAATCACATCATACATGAACAAAATAATTTCTACTATCGATATGATTATCATCGCTACGGCTGGCGGTCGACAGCTGTACTCATCTTCGTACAGCCCATCCGGATAGTCGCTAGATCGCAGAGAAGATTCCGTTATTGTGCTTGTTTGCTGCTGAAATGGCCGGGAATCGCCAAAGCTTGAGGGGACATGCATTACAGTACTGTATTGTCGCTGAGGGTAATACCTAGAGCCCACGGAGGTCTGTCTCATCGCGCGGCTTGGTCGTTGGGGTATCACAGATTGAACATATCGCTGCATGAAATGTCCGAATATACCTTGCATATCCTTCCTGTGGATCTAAATACAAAGAAGAGAGAATCAACGAGCTGTATCATGCGCACTCAGTCGGTTTTCGATATTCTCCAAGATCATTACCAACCATCGCTATAAATTCCGGATACTCCAGGTAACCGGAATCATCCAAATCTGCCTTACGCATTATAGTGCGCACTACTCCAGCGGGAATATCATTGGAAAAGTCTGGCCCGCGTATCATCTCTCTCAACTCTTGAAGGGAGATCTTTCCATCTCCATCGAGATCATATCTCTCAAAAATAGCTTTCCAATGCTGTCAAACAGAAAAGGCACAATGTTAACTATTTTGCATGAGCCCAAGCATCCAAGGTCCACATTAAGCTATTGAATATTACTCGTCTCAAGTGACATTCATATTTGAATTCAGAGTTAGAGTTTTTTACTTGAATCATGATTACAGATATGAATGACACATACATTACAATTCAACTGGTAAATATGGATTTAACTCTGAACAAAAGTCTGAATATCTCACATGATACAAGTTTTAGATGACAACTATTAATGAGAAATGGACCTAAGGAATGCCATGTATTTTCAACAGTCTCTTTTTGGCTCGTAACCAACTGCACACAGATAGAGAGCACTTACAGCTTCATTGTACTGCAGCGGGATAGTTACTGCAGTCTCACCCTCTCGATTAGTCGTCATTCTTATCAACTTGAAGCTCCTGCAAAAATAAATATCACATTAGTCACAACGTCGTGTAGTGACCAAGCACTCTTGTGTGTGTCACGTGTATGCCTTGCGAAGGTAGACGAGCAATCGACACATCGCGTTATATCATAGCTCTCTCAAGTCTTTCAAGTGGCCGCGCGAAATTATGCGCTTCCCGCTCTATCAGACAATTACTTACAATCTTAAAGAGATTTGAACAAGGGGTGTGTGGAAGAGGGGAAGCGACACAGCTGTGCCTGAACCTGAAACATTGACCGACTGTCGGAGTAGAGGAATACTTTCCGGCTTGTACCGGCGTTGACGTGTGTAGCGCGCCGCACCCGAGGAGTTGCCTATGAGAAGGTCCAGCCGCCGCGAGACGGACCGCGTGTTCTGAGCGAAGCGCTGTATCAGGTTAACAGATGCACATGTATGGGCAAATGCGCCGGAGCAACGCGGGTTTTTGGCTGCCGGGAGGTCGCCGGGCGGAGATCGTTCGAACTCACCGCGAGGAAAAGGCGTGACTCGTCGGGATACGGCTCGCACGGCCAATCTCTCGTAGCTGAGCTCCGCGCGGGCAGGGCGGACGCGCACTTCACTCTCACGACTTACTGCGCGCACGCACACCTGCACCTGTCGGTTGCGCCGAAGCTATCGCGGCTCGGACGCGTTCCACGATCTACGATAATACCGGCGACGGCGATGACACATTTTCCCTTATCTTCTCGCGCGCAGATACGCGCGAAAAATCGATAAAACCGATGCGACACGCCACTTTCGCACCGGGGACGCGCTCTGGGATGATGACGCTTCCCGAGCACGAGTGGTTCCACCTGTCGCTGTGCAGCGCGCACGCACGTGACGTATTCCAGCCCTCCGAAGGACTCGGTGGAGTCGCGCGAGAATTCGGCGAGTTCGAGTTTTCGCCGCGGGAAAGTTTTCCTCGAGGGAACACTTCCGACAGCTCAAGCTTCTACAAGATTTTCTAGGAGGAAATAGAGAGTCTTTTAGAAGCCTGTGCTGTCGCAGATACTCGTCATCGCGTTCTCATCATTGCGGAGGCAGACACAGAGATCATTCGCGCGCGTCTCCGTCTTTGGAATTCAAACTGGTCGAAGATCTATCGATTTCAAGTCTCACTAACTTCGGGTTGAACGTTCAACCCGAAGTTAGCGCGACTTGAGATCGATAGTTGTCTGATTAATTCGAATTTTCGTTTTAGTTTCGGCGGTATTGGGTTGTAAAAGATTCATTATTTTTCTATTAAATTCTCATTTAGGTATTTTCTTAAAAGGAAAATAGTCCTTGTATTGTCTTAAATATACCGAATTGATAGTTTTTTCTTAAAAATCATTAATAGAAATTGGACGATTCCATTCTCCAGTTATATTAATGTCTGGACATGTTCAATATTTGCATTTGATGACTAAAATGACAAGAATATCCAGAGTTAGGTACGTGTTCAGGCATTGGCACTTTTACCTTAAAATAGAAAATAAAATTGTCCAATTTCGAGATTAATAATTTTCACGAATAAAATAAACATGAACTCGATGTTTTTTTTAAATCTAATAAGGACCTCATTTTTTTTTAATACCCAAACTTCCTATGAGAAGTTAATCCTGGACATTCTTATTGTTTTGGGTTTTAAACATGAATATTTAAATTTACATATATTTTATGTTAAAAGTTTAAGTATTCGTATCTAAAAACCAAAACAAAAAATATCTGCAGCGTTATGTACGTGTCCAGGTATTGGCACATTTACTTTATTTGACAACACGATGAACCTTTCGCAACAATACGTCACTTTTAACACGAGATACTTAGAAGAGTAAGCTATCAAATGCAGAGAAAAACGGAGAAGATGTAGCTCAGATAATACAAAATATCCTGCGATCATTCTGAATGTATTCAAGACGTCCTGGAGCAGGTGTTTTGGGCACGTCCAGGATGATTCTGAGATGTGTTATTTGGAGAAGCGCATTCTGCTCGGAAACAACAAACCCTATCACACTAGAACACCCGAGGACACTGAAACATCTGGCTACCTGACGATGAACGCGCCCGGATATGATCCTCGCGCATCTGCTTGCGAGATTAAGGAACGCGACGATTGGCGTGATACTGGCGCATCATCTAACTGCTACTAACGCACTTGGAATCAGACTCACCGGTTCTACGGAACTAACTAAGCGATAACGGTTTCGAACCTCCCAGAGAGGCACGGAGACACGAAGGAAAGAACGCGCGCGGGCGCGCTGCAGCGTGCCACTGACCTCGGCGTCTCGAGCGCGATCAGGAACTCCCTCTGGAACGCGGGGGCCAAATTTTCCGCGCTCGGGCCCCTGCCTCGCAGCAGGTGTCACGAGAACGTGTTCGTTCTCGGGCGTAACGGTAAAAGACGGCCGCGAATGGCCGCGAGTCTTTTTCGTAAGTCGCGAGAGCGGCTCTCGATGAAGTCCCGAAAATTGCACGGTAGAAAACAAGTGCCGCAACTACGAGACCTCTCTCCTTTGTTGACGTGTTCTTTTTTTCCTTCTTTTTGTTTTCTTTTCTTCTAACAGTAGCTCGCGTGACTCCAACGTATAGACAATGGCCCGCCGATTTGAGAAACGTCTTCCTTTCTCACTTCCCGCGCGAATGGTCGTCTCCCACGGCACTTTGTTCTTTTTTCAATTGTACGTATTTTATAACAGGTGGGACATACTTCAGCAGTAGATACAAAAAGAATGAAGAAACTTCATATAAATATGTATCCTACTTGAACTTCCAGAGTTATAGCCATTTTTGTGCTTCAGTAATGTATAGTTGCTTATTTTTATAGATGTTCAAAAATTCCTATCAAATGCGTGTGCTATTTCCTGGTTTGAATACTTATTGATTATTACTTCTAACGTGCATCACATTAATGAATTATCAAGTGTCTTTAGCAAGAGAATGAGATGAAATGAACAAAATAATAAATGAATAATAATAATAATAAACTCAATCGATAGAATGTGTGAAATCAACAAGGTCGGGAGATATCAGGAGATATGAAACATTGTCTAAATACAAGCCAAAGATAGCCTTTACTTCCTGTAAAGGTAAGCAGCTACACATTACTGAAGCACAAAAATAGCTATGACTCTCAAGCAAGGTCGGATAGGACACAGGTTTATATGAACTTTTCTCATTGCTATTGTATTCCTCATCCGCTGCTTAAGCGAGTCCTACATGTTATGAACGAATACACAATGGCTCTTTAATAGCTTCTTTTTTTTAACTGAGTTGCTGACTCCATGACTGTACTATTTCATTATAGTTGTATGCGAAAAAATAGCATTGGCGAAATGAGTATTAAACAATTGTCTTGAAGCGACCCCAAAAATAAAAATCTAATGGATTTAAATCCTAAATTAAATATAGTAAATTCTTATATCAAATGCGCGTGTTATTTCCTAGTTTGAATACTTATTGATTATTACTTCTAACGTGCATCACATTAATGAATTATCAAGTGTCTTTAGCAAGAGAACGAGATGAAATAAACCGGACCGAGACGTGGGGATTTCCTTTCGTTACTCGTGTAGCTTTTTCCTCCTCGCGTCTGGGACAACGGAACGACTAACGTCAATGGATTCTACTTGCCGGGTTGTCGAATGACTCAGAAAGAAAATTTCAACCATCAATCTATCTGCTAACAAATGCGCAGTTGTTAGCTGCGTGTGTGAGTGGCGAATTGACTGTTTCTTGAATTTCGTATCGTGGATTTCTCCAATTTTACATATTCTATCTGTGTATAATAAATCCTGCCTTGTGCATTTGCGATGCAGGATGTCGACTAAGGAGGCAGTCAAGGTTTCACGCGCCAATGTTGTCGTCAATCAAGATATCAATGTTGTCGTGTTGTTGCTCAGTGATACTAAGAATACATCTCATCACGAGGCATCATTTTCCGAAGTATTCATCGGCGCGGCGCGTTACGATGACTCATTGAAAACTCGTTGAAGCTATGAGGAAGAGAGAATCTTTCCGATGAGGCTACGTGCGCGCGTACGCTATAAAAAAATAGCGTCTGTCACGATGAAGGTATATATCGTTCGCGCGCACGTGAATCTTACGATGCACTGACAAGCAGTTTCCCGGGTGAATCGAGAGGATTAACGCAAACGCTGCGCGCACTTGATAAATGATGCCTCGCCCTCGGAATTTTTATGGATCAAAACATCCTCACGCAATCCTCGAGGACGAAAACGAAAGCTTACACAACTGCTTTACGCAACTCTCAATTTTATGCAACACTAACAGCGAAAGATGGCAATAAGAAGAAAGAGAGGATGTAGAAGAATCACATTTACGACTCGAACGCGACGTGAACACGTTCGTACTTGAAACTTTCTGCTCTCTTTCTCCTTATCTCTCTGTCTCTCTGTGTTCCTTCCTATAGCTAGAAATTTGACGAGCGACATGCTTCGGTGCTGATGCCACCACCACCACTACCATCACGTCTCAGCTAGCGGTGAGGTTGCCTAGCGACGAGCAAATCAACAAACGAGCTATCCGAGATCATTGACAGCCGAGAGCTTATTCAGTGTTCCGCCGTGCCGATCTCTCTTTTCGCAGAATAATCAAGCTTGGTTCGCATTAACACGTATTAACACGCGACTCTCGAACCAAAAATGTCGTGTAAGGTGGAGAAAATGAAAATAGCGGCCACCTACAGGGTGAACGAGCCGATGGATAATCTAAAAATAAGGTGTCGCATCATTCGAGTGTTTCGTGTCTCTTACATATAAGACAATTCAATATGTATAAATCGGTATTAGGCATTAATGTAAGAGTACCAATATCCGGACACGTAATTGTAGACATTCTTATTGTTTTGGACTTTAAATACAAGTATTTCAATTTTCAACATAAAAAGAGATATGTACATATATTCTACATTGATAGTATTTGTACATTCGTATTTAAAGATCAAGACAACAATGTTTAGAATTAGATGTGTGTCAGGGAATTGGTATTTTTACTTCAATTGATTAAAAATTTTAAAATAACCAATAATCAAAACTAATTAATCGTCATATATAAAATCATAAATAATTTTATCGACTGATTTTGTCAAATTAATAAAGTGTTAAATAATAAGTATGTTAATTATATTACTATAGAATTTGTTAATTATTAAATAAATTGTTAGATAAAAAAGGTTAAAGGAATAAATTAATACAAGTTTAATTTATTGTACTTATATTATAAATATTATAAAAGTTTAATTAGTTAATTAAACTTTTATGTAATTGATTATATAAGATTAATAATTAATTTTATCAGTCGATTAAATTCTTCGTGTTTACAATATACGACAATTGATGTTTGCTGATTACTTTAGTAAAAGAAAGTCTCAGTCGACTAATGTCCAGCACTGGTATAAATAGAATATTAACATAATACACAAAAATTTAGTATACATTAACTGGACTTAATATATAACTCGCAAGAATCCAATAAATAACAAATAAATAAATAAAGCAATGTGTAAATTTTACTCAATATATCGAGTTCAATATGATTCAATTTAATTCCTGGCGACATTGACTGAATCGAAAGCAGTTTCTCGCAAGCTTCCGGCACCTAGTCGAGTGTCGAATGGAAATCCGAGTTCGTTACATCGCGCGAACAATTTTGCACAACCTAATAACGCTAAACTAACTTCTAATCTTCGCGGAAAGGTGCGAAGGTTACGAAAACAAGGGAGAGTAGTATTTAGAGGCGCGACTCCGTGTGAATCGAACCTCCATTTATCGAACCTCCATTATCCGTTTATCTATCAGGCTCATCAGGTTGTTTCAGGTTGTTTCTCATTACATAATCGATCGATAAAGCTAATTCTGCCTTCGCGATGTATCCTATCTCGTAGCGAAATCGCGATTACCCGAATGAACTGCCAGGCGGCGGGTGTTGCCTGTTTGCACGACGATCTGCGTCCGGAAATCCCCGGGGGCGATTAACCGGGGGTGCGAAGGTTGCGGAAACAAATGAGCGAGTGTGTTTATTACGCGAGATATCGTTAATATAAACCGCCCACGTTCGAGGCGCGTTATATAAGCAGCCACCAGCGGTTGCCTTTCCTTTTGCTTTGCTTTACGTGTCGCGCCGCTGACATTTGTACCTGCGATTATGAAAGTCACCCGAGTCACGTACTTTTCGCTTTTTTTTTTTTTCTCGAGATAATTGTTCGCCTGTATCTCGCGGATTAATTCGTAGCGAGGTGCTGAGAAACGCTACAGGAAACATTATTCTCTTTTCACAGTAGAGGAATGTAAAATATGAGGAATGTTTCAATTCCATGAAAAAATTGAGACTCCAAGCGTCATCGAGGAAATTGATTATCTATCAATAGCAATTATTATCATAATAACGTTCGATTACCTCAAAATTGCGTTGAGATTGGGCGATTAACTGATGATTGAATTTACAAAAAATACAGTAAATAAGAATTCCTATGACTGAATTAATAAGAAATCACGATCAGTTTGATATTTCTGTTAACAATGAATGGAATTGCATAATAAAACTGACATTTATGTAAAACTTGGTCAGCGATCGAAAAGTAATAAGAAACAAAGTAATCAATATCAATTATAATTTTAATGATAGATAATGTCGATTGTACTGAAGTAATTCGATACTAAATCGAAAAACGAATGATGACCTGATTATCGAATCATACAGACTCTATGATCGAATGCTCATTAAATAATATTGTAAATTGATATAAAGAAGCATTTTTTGCAAAGTTCCTTAAAGCTTTTTTTATAAATACTAAATATAAATATATTATTAGTGTTTCATATTCAATCGTTAGGACATGTTCAATCATTGAGACATTTATCTTAAGCATAACTTGAGACGCGTATAATTTTTACTTTGCTTCGTTAGCTCTCTGTCGGTCATGCAATCGACTCCATAATCACAATTAATTATACTTTATACGTAACTTTATGACACGATAATATGCCAGTGACCGTCACCATTTAATATGCGAGATTCTGCGAATAATTATTCACGTGATAAACTAGATTCTACCATTATTGCGATTCCGGCCGGTTTCCTAATCGTCAGTAGTTTCACGCGCGGCGAGAAAAAGCGAGGGAGAAGGATAGCGATTCTGCGATTTACATTTGTGCGAAATTAACGAGAGAAAGAGAGGAAGATCGACAGAGAGGTGGAGGAGACGGAGAGACAAACAGAAGGATAGCGTGGGCATCTGGCCCACCAGGCGAGGCACCTTTATCGAGTTCCACCCAAGAACGTTGTCGGCGATTCGTTTGTTATTTCAGAGTGCGAGTCGTGCAGCAGAGGTCTCCGCTCGCCGAGCTGCTGGAGGAGTCCGAGGGTGAGACCAGAGACTCCAATTACTTGGTGGAGGAGGATCGTATTTTTGGCTGGCAGGAGAAGGTGTTCAGCCCGTTCGAGATCGACTTCTACGCGGACGAGAAAAATTGCCTGACCGACTGTCAGCGAGATTATCATCGACGTATACGTGACGACGAGGAGCTGCGAACCGGCCGATTGTACTCCTACACGGAGAACGACTCCTACTACTTCGATAACGACCTGCTCACAGAGCCCTACAGGCAGGCAGTTGAATTCGGTTCTTATCCTCCGCGGAGACTCGCTTATCCCTGATGATTCGGTCGAGCGCGAACCGATTGTTCGCGATTTCGCTCTCTTGCAAACGTTCTCTCTGAATCGTTATTTCAGCTCTTCATAACGAATAAGTTCTGCGCGGATTTATTTTCTACCGAGCTCGCACGTGACATCGATGAGTTATCGGGAAATACGAGTCTCGTCTCAAAAGTAAACTGGACAGCACAAACTTCTAAGCGACATCTTACGACTTCTAATCCCTCGTTGCTGTCATCTTAATTGATGACATCAACGAAGAACGTCAGAAACGAGAAAATACACGCTCAAAATACCAAGCAAATAAGCTGAAACAAAAGGACATGTCTATAAAATGATACTTGTGATTGGTGTTGAGAGGATTTGCAAAGTGAACATTTTCCCTTTGCTCTAATAATCCGAATTAACAACTCCGAAATTAACGTAACAAGTAACTACGATCTTTGAGCCATATGAATTTGCCTAGGAATCCACTTATAAACCTCGCTTGCAGGTCGTATCTGTCGACGAAGAATCAGACGGCACTGCCGAGTCTGCGGAATCGCAAGCCCTTCCGGGAGCGGTACAACAAGAGCGTGGTGGACGACAGGGCCACGGACGAGAGGATCCGATCGAATCATTATCTCTACACGGAGTGCACTGCCATGTACGTGGTGGCCGATCTGTCTCGACGCGACGAGCCCGCGACCGGGTCGGACCGCGACTCGGAAACGCTGCTCTGCACCGTGACTTACGACCAGGCGCGCAAACTACTGACGATTAGCCCCGATGTCATTGGCGATGACGATCATTACGACGTTACCAATAGCAGCGGTATCAAGTACAATTACTGGATAGAGCATGTCTCCGAGGAGCAGACGCCGTTGGAGCTGCAGCGGCAACGCGACGACACGCGGCGCGTGAGTACGTCGCGCCGTTCGCGACGGAGGAAGACGGATCTCGACGGCATTCTGAGGGAGTTCTTCGACGACGTCGCCGCGTCGAAAAGCTGGTCTTTTCGTGGAAAACGCGAATGGCGATCCCGACGTTGCCCGGGCGAGACGTAGTCCGTTTATTTGCGTTGCGGGGCGGTTACATTTATATCCGTTCTCCTCCGCGCTGACCGGTCTCTTCCTTACGTCTATGTATGCTGGATGTTAATATCATGTGGATGCCAATATTCTTAATAATGTTATATTGAAAGTGACGCAATGCAATCGTGAGCCAAGAACGGTCGATATAACGAAACTGCTTCCGAATCAGAAAGCTCGTGGCGTAACCCGCACTCGTCATCGTTACTCCGTTAAAACCGCAACGGGATGCACGCAAGTAATTAGGGGAATTCATGGCGATGACGGCGAAGTCAGGGAGTATTGCAGCATGCGTCGATGTCCGCGGAGAAAACACATTTTAGCACTTATCTCGCAGAATACACATCACTGCGAAGTAAAAATGTTGCAAGGCAAAGTAAAAGCATCGATACCCGGACACGCGTACCTAATTCTGGATGTTCTTATTGTTTTGGTCTTTAAATATTTAAATTTCCCATATAAAAAAATATACATGTACACAAAATACATGAATAATAGAATATATATATATATGTATATATAATATATAATAGAGAGAATAGAATATATAATAGAGAATAAATAAAATAAGGATAGAATGTATGTGCATATATTTTATATTGAATTTAAATATTCGTATTCAGATACTAACATAACAAGAATGTCCAGGATTAAGTGCGTATCCAGAAATTAAATACTTTTACCTTACTTTTATCTCAATTAGTAAATATGAATATTCAAACTTGCAACATAAAATATATGTGCACATTAAAGGTTTAAATATTAAAAGGTATTGAAAGATCAAAGCGATACAAATATCCAGGATTAGATACATGTCCAGGAATTTATGCTTGGCATAAATTACCGCGGCAGTTAATCGGTGAAATCAATTTTCGTCGCATAGTGAGTTGTATGCGAGAAAATTCGTATTCGAAAACAACTCGTTAAGTTCTCCAGAACTGGTGCTTTCTAACAAATCAGTCTTGTTAAACGGGTTCTCGAGTGTGCTGCGTCCCCCGATAATAACCGATCGATCGGGAAAACGCGGCGCGACACGTGGAGGCGATTCGCTCCGTGTATCAGCCGCGTGTCGAATTGCGATGCGATGATGAAACTATTTGGCGAACGGACGCGTTCGTCTCTTGCGTTCACGAGGCGAGTTCGATTGTCGTCGATTTTCGCGAAAATCGTAGCGACGTCGACGCGACAAGCTGCAGAGGGTTCACCGTTACACGTTCAGACGATTAGAGGAAGTCTAAGCGCGTTCGCTCGGCACATACAGACGTGACGACGGAATAATTTGAGGAAAAAGGAAAACGATCGCCACACATACCCCACGTAGGACACCTCCGAGATCTGCCGCATCACTCTCTGCGGGTAAAACATGATTGCCAGTCGTTGCCTCGTTTGTTTCACAAAAATTGTTCCTCGATACTCCGCACGCTCGCAGAATTATGGCATCTTCGGCGGACCCGTCAATTCACCGCGGTTTCTGTCTTCTTCTTCCGGTCGTTTGAGAAACCACATCCGGAAATTTCGGAGCCCAACAGTTTCATCGTCGTGCTGTCGCGCTGCATGATCGTACCGTCGTTAATTAGCGGGAAAAAATATATGGAAGTACGTACGCGTGTATGTATGTATGTATGTATTAATGACGACCGACCATTAAGTGTATTAGTTGCGACGTTTCCTCATGCACGCGCGCATATATCTCCACGGAACGAGTTGACCACTGCGCTGCCTACGCTCGACTGAATCCTATGGTTCTGCGAATGTCTTCCTGAACGCTCTCCTCCATAAGGTGTACGTTAGCGCTATCGGCCGGTATACGTGCGTGTACACAGCGTTTACATGTGCACAGTGGGGCAGGAGTATCTGCAAACACAGAGAGAGAGAGAAGCGGCTTTCACACAATTCTACATCGGTAGAAGCGGCAGTAGGGATCTACGCGTATCAGCGTTGCGAACCTCGCCGCCGGCGAGGAGCGTGGAATCAAATTAGCGATTTTTTATCTCGCGCTCTGTTAGACACACGGTCGCACGAGAAGTGTGTGAGTGCACGAAGGATACGGAAATATGTCGTGTGTATAAGCGGAAACCTCGTGTGTATCTGCTGGCTCAGCAAAAACTTTTATTATCTGGCTGCGCGCTCACTGCTCGAACAGGAATTTACGTGAATTCAATCGTGTTTTGTGGATACTGTGATTTACTCTTGCGCGAGAGATTTATATCCTTTCAAATAATCAAGTATATAGATTGTTAAAAAGAGCATTTAGAATTCAGATAATAGAGTAAGCGAACCTATTTCGGAACAGCATATTTTGAAACACTTAAATTCTTTTTCTGTATTTGTCGTCAAATAATATAAAATTTTGATGTTAGTAACAAAGAACATGTTCTTTGTTACTAATATCAAAATTTTATATTATTTGACGGCTAATACAGGAAAAAAATTTAAGTGTTTCGAAATATATTCGCTTACTCTACATACTGTACTGAATAAAAGTCTTAGCAAACATAGATCGAAAACTCAACCGTTTTTAGGATATAAACAATTTTGTACATTAGTATCATGACTAACATATACGTGTCGAGATAAATATTTACCTTGGTGTTTACAAACTATTCTCATTCGATTTTCATACATACTTTAGGAAGATTTCAGTGGCAATCGTTCGGTTGTTATCATACAACTAACGATTGTGGATCTGTTTGGTGATTACACAGTTATAAAGTATCGTACTGAAAATGTCAACATATTACTTTAATAAAGAAATGCCAGATATGCATTTTACGTATAGTCGTACTAATGGAATGCTTCAGTCTACACGGAAAAATTTCTAATATATGAAATCGTTTATACATCTCAGAAACGATCGAATTTCCTTTCGACCTATGTTTATTAAGATTTTTTTTATTCAGTATGTACTATCATATAAATGCCGAATACTTTTTTTTAACAACCTGTATATAGGTTGAGAGAGAGTGTTAATAAGATTAAGATTAGAGTCTTAAAAAGATGAAGATTAAGTTAATAAGATCAAGTTAGTAGGATTATAATAATAAAAATGATGATATTTAATTATATAAAACTAAATATAATTATATATGATTATTCCATACATCAATTTTGTTTATATATATGTAATCACATATAATTATATATTGCCATATACAGACAAAATTTACACGCAATTATTTTCTGCTTGGATAAAGGATGTCAAATGCATTTTCTAATGAGAACGCGGTTCAATTAACTTGCTGGACAGAAAAAAATGTTTTTGCATGGTACCAATGTTTCTTCTGTTCACATCTTGATTATTAACATATCGCAGACGGATTACGAGAATTCTCGTGTTGTAATATAATTTTTTATTTTTAATTCATTAAAAATTTAATATAATATAAATAATAATATAATAAATAAAAAGATTGTGTGAATTCTCTATGCTAAATTCCAGAAAAAAAGTTCAGTTGTTAAAAGAAAAATAGGGAGATTTCGTTAAGTCTCCCAAAAAAAAGAGTCTACTTGTTTTATTCATAGAAATTATTGATACTTCAAAGTTGAATAATTTCGTTTTTTATATCTTAATTGACAGACATAACAAACTCTTTGAACTAACCTAATACTTGGCTATTAAGCATAATTAGCAATAAAATGGTTGGCCCGCGATATAGTATATATAACATTAGCTGCTGCAGTCTTTCCTCAATAGCTTTGGTTAATATTAAATAATTATTGCAGGAAGTGCAACAACAGCTCGCCCACAAAGAAACGGAGGTATATAAGGAATTGCAGTTGGCGCCAACGAATCTATCCACGCTGTATTTAGGCCTGGACATTGTGTCGGCTCACGGCTTTTCTTACGACGGACTATTTGTCACCTATTTCATCGATCTGCCGCAACGTTGGAGCACGAGGCAGAAAGAGAGGCTGTTCGGGAGAACGCAAAAGTGCCTCTTGGACAATAAATCGGCACATTTCAGTTATTGCACCGATATATTGTTGCATTATCCGTCGAAGGAGATTCAACAACCGAATGCGAGCGCGTCGCCGTTCTGGCCTCGTTTATTGTTCTCTGTGGCGTCTCTAGACAGTTGGACCAGGTAATTACACGAAAGCTTCACGTCGACACATATTTTATCTCAAACATTTGACTCGAATATCCTACGTCGCTTGTTTGATTTGGATTTTGGGTTGGTGTTGCGTTCTTCGTGAATTTTTTTCGATCTTTTTTCGACCTCAACTTTGTAATCAGCGTCCCCATAAGCCAAATTCAAAGGAACTTAACTCAGGAATAAAATGCACGGCTCAAAGTATTGAACTGAAATTTCTGGTTTATATTTTATCAGAAATCTGCTTGATTCAACCGAACTTTTTTTTCTGTCCAGATATCGAATAGAGGGATACGCAGCATTACCATTACCATTAACGCCTGGCTCGTACAAGTTCACAATCCCTACGTGGCGTGCGAAGGGAAGTTTCATCGACGCATTGAGACGATTTTTCGTCGGCGGCTCTTACGAACTCGAAGACATAACGTATTGCGGTATTCCAGCGGCGCACGAGGGTAAAATTTTGGATAAGTCAAATCTGAAGATCGTATCTAGTGGGGATATCGAAATTCACATTAATATCGCTCATCAGAACCGCGCACTTGGGAAGTGCTTTGATAGTCAAGGAGATGATTCGAATAGAATAAGTACTGATGCGCTTATGAGCAGTGTGGAAAATGTTCTTGAACAATTTAAGGCTGCTAAGGAGCGTATGATACAGATAAAAGCAATGAATTCATTAACTACAAGTCTAAACAGCACAAGCTTATTCTAAACAATTGAGCAGACTGATTAATAAAGTTAATGGGTATCTATCGAGACTCAATTGTATCAAGCTGGTATCTTATTATTGTTATAGATTATATTAAATTGTAAATAGAGAATTCAGATGTGGGACATAATTAAAATTAGGAATAATTCTGTCTCTTGTACAAATATTGTTAATAAATCTCATACTAAATTCAATTGCATCATTATACTCATGAACCGAGAGAATATTGAAATATAAATACATCATTTTACTCTTACTGAACCTAAACTTTGTGCACAATCAAACAACAAGAAACACAGGACTGATCTAATCATTGTTGGTGAGGTGTGTAACATTAATGTCATTATATTAACATGTCTAACCAGCATATTGCGATACATGTATCAATGTTACTACATATATCACTGTCTTACCTTTATTTCACACAGGAATATGCTTCTATAGGTTATACATGAGGTTAAAGTATCTCATCAGTCCATTTTACAGTACTAACCAATCTGATTGAATCTTCAACGAAATTTGTGGATGTATCTGTCGAGTAGGTTACTGCTGTTTAAATTTGGCAGAAACAAGATCTTGTGAACGTTAGTTTTACTTACATCTTTCACACTTTGTCCTCTTGTATCGTTTCCTTCTGAGCAGAGGTCAACAGCGGCGATTCAATTCCCGATGCTACACTTCTTTCAATATTTCTTCGCGAATAAACACTCGCCTGCTGCAAGTCGTAATCCCAGCGATTTGAATCCGTTCCTTTCGGGTAACGGAAAAACATTCGAGTAATCGAAGACACCCGATTTGAGGTGCGTTCGGGGAGCTCGCTATTAGTGCTATTCAGCGCTACCGTGTCATTCTATCTTTGTTGTATATTTAAGGAATAATAAAGATAGAAGAACGCGGTAGCGTTAGTAGCGTGCTCCCCGAACGCATGTTTGGTCGATTGTTCGAACTCGCATTGAACTCGATTCCTCTCTACAAGAAATGGAACCAACGTCAGACGTCTAAAAATTCGAATATTTCGTCAACTCAAAATCGTCTAATTAGATACTAGTATATTAATGTCGAGAATCTTTTATACGAGATCCAACACTCATTTGTTTGGTGAAAATATCGATGATCCAAGATGCTTGAAATGTGGCGTAACCCAGAGTAATGACTATATTTCCCCAAGATGCGATAAAATTGATAAACAAAGATAAATATAGATAAACACAGTACACACTCAGAATTAGATTTCACTCGGCGGAAATTTTCACCAATGACTTCATCGCGGATATTACTTTAGCAACAATGGCAATAACAGAAGAACTAGTCTATTCTTTGGTCTGTTCTTTTCAGCCGTACTGCTGAACTGGTGCAATAAGTTAGAGTGAAAAAACATATACTTATCTCACTTTAACTTATTGCACTTATTTAGCAGTGCAGCTGAAAAGAACAGCTTGTGGAAATTTATAGAGGACGCAATATTTACATTCAAACATCTGACAATCGCGCCTTCTGCCCAGTCATTCGCTATCGACTTATCACGTGACGAGAAATTCGACGAATGGCGCACGTACAATGGCTCAGGTAGTGGCTGTCAAATCAGATATAGGTTAAGTTCGTTTTGCACGTTTTCGTGTTGAAAGCATCGTTCCAATTTCCTGCGGCGTATGTAACGAACGACAAAAATAGAATGATGCTTTCAGTACGAAAACGTGCAAAACGAATTAGCTGTAATTAGCGTTAACGTGTCGCTTGACTTTGTATGTATCTAAAGAGCGACAAAGATAGAATGACGCAATAGTTGACAGCGCGGTACTCTAACATATCTAAAAGTTGTGTCCTGATATTTCCTGTTAGTACTGAAAATCTATAGTTCATGTCACGTATATTATAGATTTTCAGTACCGACAATGAATATCGAAACTTAACTGTAGAAGGAAGGAAAAAAGGATATTTCGAAAATTCACAACCACCGCTGACGATATACACGTATGTCATCGACGAGGTTATACTAAAGATTGTTGGCTTATGGAATTTCGCGTACCAGAAAATCTCGCCATTTAATAACCTCCAGTCGGTAAATTCGTCGATAAAAATGTGCAAAATCAGTGTAGTTACAAAAATCTGGTTTCATAAAAATATTTAATATACTTCATTGTAAGTCCGTATAACGATAAAACATCAAGATAATTGTAAATAAAAAATTAATACTTTATTATACACTGAATATCAAGGTACTTGTATCGAAAAATGGTCGATCGAATAATGTTATCCTTTTTCAATTATTTCTTTTGCTAGTACGAAAATTTACCCAGGGCTAATGATTTTTGATAAATACCTTCTCGTTTTAAGCGCGAGTGATGCAAGGAGTACAACCGGAACTCACATCCGGCAGTGACTTTCAACTGGATGCGCGCCGGCCGGCGCGCGCCGCAGCGGCTAGAGGCTCCTGGCTTCCGGCGCACTGACATGACAACAAGTAATTGTTTTTATTGACAGAGACCGCGATAATGTAAGGGAATCGCGGCGTGTCTCCGTGCGTACGAGAGCGCGGCTGGTCGGCAAGCAATCGCGGGGCTGTCGAACCACGCGAGAAACCGCGGCGTCTCGCGCGCGCTTCATTCAACAAAGGGGAGATTTTTTCCGTCAAACTTGGCGTTCGCGAGTGATGCAGGTTATGTGAGCTTGTCGAGCCCGCTTACGTCGTCGCCGACGCCGCTCGCGGGAGTGCGCGATGGGCCAGGGTACGGAGACGTGCGCCGACCGGCCCACGGAGGTCAGCGTCATCAGATTCGTCACACGGAACCGCACCATCGAGGAGATTGCACCCAAAAAGGTGAAGTTCACGGAAGCCTTCGGCCATGGGGTCAATGACCCCTAAGCCAAAACAAATAGCAAAGTAGGCTGGGGCGAGGGCGAAAAGCGACGGCACTCGGTGTTAGATTTGCTTGCAATTTTAGCATTATCCCACTATGTAAATAGTAAACATTACATATTAGGTATGTAGCATATATGTTTAATGTCCTTACTCAGAAACATTTCTTCTACATAATAGCTCAGAAATGTAGCAGAAATATTTCTGCTACACTTCTGAGCTATTATGTAGAAGAAACATTTCTGAGTAAGAACATTAAACATATATGTTATGTATCTAATATGTAACGTTTACTATTTGCACAGTGAGATTATATCTCTGGTATACTGAATGAGTACAGAGTCACTTTCAATAATTCTCAAGAGGACAATTGACTCTATCCCTCTACGCTTATTGCTTCGCTTAGATATAACTGTTTGCATAAAGCAGATTTATAAATCTATCAATTTCATGAGACTGCCACCTTTATGCACAAACTTGATCACTGAGAATTTTGAGAGCTAGTGAATTTTTAAATATGAGAATATGGAAATAATTTGTAAGCAGAAGTGTACAAACATTCTATGAACTTGTTCCATAAAAGTGTTGCAAGTTTTATGTAAATGACTATATATTTGAATCAACAGTATGTTTTATTCAATCTGTGTTATTCAAAACTATCTTGTGACCCAATCTGTCTTGTTTATTAGACACTAAGTGAATTTAGATTGTCAGATTGAAGATGCACTAAACTTTCCCTGTAGCAATGTAAATGGAGATATCACTAATATTTGAATTGGTTTCAAAAACACAGGAGGTGTATACTTGCAAACAACGAGGTTGCGGTAAGGTATTCACCAATCAAGATGAATACAAGACGCATGAGGCATTGGAGGCATTGAAGATTCGATTTATGTAAGCTTGAAAACAAATTTACCATGAAATCATATGAAGTTTCTTGTAGTTTGATTTGTGCACAAAGTTTAGATTTAGTGAGGATAAAATGATGAGTTTATATTTCAATATTCATCAGTTCATGAGTGTAATAATGCAATTAAATTTAATATATGAGATTTATTAACAATACTTGTACAAGAGACAAAATTATTCCTGATCTTAATTATGTCCTACACCTAGATTCTCTATTTACAATTTAATTACCATGAAATCATATTTGGCCTAAAAAACTTATCAAGTTTCTAAAAGATTATAGGTCTGTTTTTTATTACTGGACTAGTGTATACTTATGGAATGTAAAAAGAAATAGATATACAGTTAAGACTTGGTGGAAGAAAGAGGTAGGAGAGAGTTAGTACAAGTTAGTGTAGCCAGTTCAGCGATAAAAAACAAACCTTATATTATTTCTGTTGATAAGATCCCCATTTTATTTATATATTTTTCTGCGAATGTTTCGTAGTTGTCGTGAGCCTGGCTGCGGAGAGGAATTGTCAGACCCGGGAAGTATGTGGCGACATTACCAGGAATGGCATAATAATGAAACGAGCGTGTACGCGTGTCCATACACCAATTGCGGATCTTTACACCCTACTAGTAGTAATCTCGAGGAACACATTGAAAGCTGCCACAGACAACTGTCCACACTGCCAATGGAGCCTGAGGTGATTTGCTTCGAAGGCCCCGAAAATACGATAGACGAGGAGGCTGCGAAGAAGACTGACGAAACATGCTACGAAAAACTGCCGAGCGAAAGCTTCAATCGGAAGGATGAATACGGGAGTAACGACGAGAGTTGCCACATGAGGAACGATGCGAAACTCCCGGCAAAGAGCGACTTCTGCCACGAGCAGAACAAGATCACGGCTGTTGCCAATAGCGAGGAATATTCGAATAACGAATCCATAAATGGTATTAATAAGTTCTCGAAGAACGAAGATCTACTTATAATTAAGGACAATTTCCTGCGGAAATATGACGGCGGCGCACCAAAGTGCGAGGAGATTCTTCAGGTGGAGTGTTCGCAGGATAAAAGCAACATGGTCTACATAAGCGGCGAGGTGACCATCACGAAGAACATGAAGGCGGAGATATGCAACTTGAATTTACGAAATCAGGAGCATAGAATAGATTTAGGAAACTTGGAGCGGGTTTTCAGGAGCGGTCTCGAGCGCGAGAATTCTTCCAATATCGAGGAAAGCTCTCTGGAAACCAACAGCAATTGTTCCGACGACGAGGAGTACACACCGAAAAAACAACGCATGTCTAGGTACAAACAAGAAACATATAAATGCGACGTGAACGGTTGCGGCAAGAAGTACAAATACATATCGCATTATCGCCATCATCAAGACAGTCACAAATTAGTCACAAATACCATTAGTTCCAACACCGCTAAGCAAATGCCAAAGGTGAAGCAAGGGAAAGCGTCCACCGTCAGTTTCTTCATGTAAGTACGTTGATCAATGCACGTCATGTAGATGTGTTTTGTGACTTTTACTGAATATTATGCAGAATTGGGTAAAGTATTTTTTTTTCAATGAAGTTAAGTTGAGAGTCAATGACTCTTAAATTAATATAGTTTATATTAAAAGTTACATGAACAAAAACTAAATAAAAAGTTAATATTAACTTATTAGAGTTAAAAGTTAATTACGCAAAACAATATATTTGTTCTTGCATAATTAACTTTTTAATTGAAGATTAAATCTGTGTATTACTATATAATGAAAAAAGGTAGTCTTTTGTTAAAAAAAAAAATCCCCACTATTTTGTGCTTAGGACTTCACACAAGGAAATAACACAAAGAGAGACAAAAAAGAATTCTTCTGTCATTTAAATTTAATAGAGAAATAAAGCCATTAAGAACAAAATGCTAGGTATTAGTGTATATATATTTTTATTCTCCCCATCATATATATATATACTATCTAGCATTTGGTTCTCAATGGCCTTATTTCTCTATTAAATTTAAGTGTTACTTATAGAGCCTTAGATACATATTTGGTTCTTCTGTCATTTTTTATTTCTCTTATTTTATATTATTAGCAGCTCGCGCGTAATGATTTAAATACTGATGGATTATTTCATCTTATATGAGAGAAGTTAATAAGTTAAAGTTCATGCATTTCAAGATAACTAGTTTAAGTTAAAAGCTAGCTCATTTAAAATTGATCGAATTAAGTTAAAGTTGAACTTGAAAAGTGACTCCGTTACTTATTTTAGAAATCTAAAACTAATTAAATTCAGTTAAAAGTTATTAACTCCTGAACGTTTTAATTTAGCTTTCAACTGATTAACTAGTTATCGTCCAAACAGTTATCATGAAACGTCCAATTTCTAGATGCAAGATGCCTGGATGTGGTGCGCAAGTGAATAACGTAACTGGCCTATGGAAGCACTATCAGGACAATCATGCCAATTCCAAGCCGCCAGTGGTGGCTCCTAAGAACAATGAAGTGTTTCGGTAAAGCGTTAGTAAGCTAATACGTACGCGTAGAATTATATGCTCGTCGCGGGTGTGCCGTTGCGACGGGATTCGCAATTAAAGTTGTGTGCTTGTCCGAGTATTCTCTCTCCGTAGCGTAGTTAATCATAATGAGCCGATATTTCAGATGCAAGGTGCCGGGATGCGAGGTAGAGTTCAACACAACGTTAATGTTGTACAAACACTTCAACGAGGTTCACTCCAATAGTTCCATCGGCAACGCAAACGGAAAGACTGGTAACGCTAGTAGCTTTCACTTTACCGAGGTGTTCCAGGAGGACGCTACTACCCAGCAAGCGAATTTTAAGACTGACTTCAAAGCCAAGCATAACGTTAACTTGAACGACTACACTGAGAGCGGCGACGAGCAGAGCGCTCATATCGCTAATAGCTAAAGGAAGAAACTTTTTTTCGGAATTGAGTCTAATCAACGGGAGGTCTTCTCCATTACGACGTTAAATAGGCACAATAATTCAGAGTATTTTACAGAGATCATTATCTTAGCCAGAATTATTCAAGAATAAATCGCTTTAAGCTTACGTGTAAACACACACTTTGGTCCGTGATTGAACGCTGTTTAATTACGACGGTAGATTTTTCTAGTAGCTGTAAGCGACGTGGACTGTGTAGGATACTCTGATATCGATTAGTGAACGTGATCGTGAACGTATCTGAGAGGATTCAACGGGCTGCTCGGTGTATGCTGCGGTGGGACGAGACTAACGGCTCGGATGTGAATCGGTCAGGGCTCAGTCTAAAAACTATATATTGTTCTACACGAATAGATTTCTCGCACAGACTTTTAAATATTATATCGGACTGTTAACGCGCCTGTATGTGCAACTTATGGGCGTAAGGGGATGCAAACGATGAAGGAAATCGCGATCATATTTGATAAGGAAGGAGAAATAATTGTTCGGCGCGATCACAAGTTTGAATTTTCGTCGTCGATTCTCGTCGTCGATGCCGACACATCGAGACTCGTAAAACTGCAAATAATTTCGTATTGTTGAGGCGCGACAACGTCTTGTATATCACGATCGCTTTTTATATTTCGCAGGTATTTGCGTTAGCGGTCCGCTATAGTATGTGTGTAGAGGTCTGTGATTTTTGTCGTCACTATAAGCGAGGCTAACCCGCTGCAGCGATATGCACCTGTAATACAAGACTCCTGACTTTCTGTACTAATTTTTACTGTTTTATATTGTGTCAATTTTTATGTAACTTATATTCCCTATACCGACATCGTTGTTACGATAGATATCCTAGCGACGTAAGTATTGTATAGCATTTTTATTTGTATGTCTGTACGTTTAAAAATAAAGTGCAATATTAGACAACATGAATATATATATATATTTTAACATAAATAGTGCGAAATAAAACATGTTATCTTTTCAAATCCTAGAGAAACAAGTGTCATTTTGAAAGAATGAAAAATTCATATTTCCCACTTCGAGTGCAAAAAGTATAATAGTGCAGCTATGGCCGTGTTCCAGTATACGCTCGCAATGTCCCCAAATCGCCCTTCAAGCCGTTCCATTAGTCCCGATCCACAATAGATGTAGTAAGCTTTAAGCCTTAAGAAATTGACTAATTACAGTCAAATTTGAGGAAAATAATCGACTATGGCCGGTATTCATAGTCCAATCTTATATTTAAGATCATCTTAAGTACTGTCTTAAAATGTCATGAACCAGTCACAGAGCCGTATTCGCATCTTAAGACATTACTTAAAGCGTCTTCTACAATGGCAGTAGGAGTAGTAGTAAGAAATAAGCAGTAAGCAAATTGACCAATTCCATTCTCACGTTTCAAAAATAATCGATTGTGATTGGTCTATTTACTTACTGCTTATTTCTTACTACTACTCCTACTGCCATTGTAGAAGACGCTTAAGACGGTCTTGAAATAAGATTCGACTATGAATACCGCCCTATGATTGGTCAATTCCTTAAGGTTTAAAGCTTACTACATCTATTGTAGATCGAGATTTAAAGACATTTTTATCGATAAAAGAAGATTCAAAATAAGGTCTTAAATTTAAATTTAAATAAATATACACTCTCTCTAATGAAATGCAAGATCGTACTCAGCACTCAAGTGAGCGATTGCGGTATTAAATGCGGCTGCGTTTTCACATGAAAAGCAGCCATATTCGGGTAGAGTGTGTCTCGCGCGTTATTCGAGTGTGGTAGATGCGGCAGATCACGGCATCCTTCCCGCCAATGCAAGTGCAATGGCGTTGGGGCGGTATTCTATGTGAAGCCTGGAGCTAAATATTGAAGAAGAAGAATCCTTCCCGCCATTGAAAAAAACAATTGATCGATGGCAAATTAAGTTGGCGCTGTCTTTTGACAACGTGCGCTCTCGTTGGTGCTATTTACGACGTGAGACAACAGAATAATTTAACAGTGCGTTAGAATAGATAATATATTCGACGAATCGGGTCTCAAAGAACATCAGTATGTGTGTGACGAATGAAACGCATATACATACATATATATATACGAGTACTGAACTGTATTTCTAATCGTAGCATGCAAATCAGCAGCAGTAGTATTTATACGTACGCCGGCAATATTTAACGTAATACGTTACAGTCGTGTGTGTAATTAACGTAGCACTCTCGACGAAACGAGCAACCACGTAACCTCAACGAACTTGTACAATCGCCCAAAGCACATAGGGATTTGTGTGAAAGCTTGCATGCATAAAATAACGGAAAATGGCCATCCTTCGTACTTGCAACACGGCCGATCGAGTTCTTGCTTAATTTGTTAGTTTTGCTTTATATATATATCATATACGCACATGTATATACTTACACATTTATATGTATTTAATTAATCATAATCGGCTTGGCAACAATCAGTCACAAACATGTCGCTTATGGTAAGATGCACTATATTATTGTGTGTAGTGTCTTGATCTAATATATTCTTGTTTGTGTGCAGAAACGTATCGATACAACTCAACAAGAGATTACCTATCGGCTTAAACATTTTCATGGTAAGTTAAGTTTGTAATGTATGTGGAAGAATTTATACATATAAGTTTAGCCTATAATGATATATATATATATATATATATATATATATATATATATATACATATATGTATACATATATATATACACACATACTGTACGCAAGCATTACCATTTTTATTTCTCAAGATTATAGGTTTGTTTTTCTAGCTGAACTATCTGAGCACTGGTGCATACTGATGTAATAAGTTAGAGTGATGTAATAAATTAAGTATATTTTGTTTCACTCTAACTTATTGCATCAGTTGAAGCAATTCTAAAAAGAACAGGCTTTATGATTATGCACCTAGGTATTCATTTTAATTTTAACTTTTGACAATGAAGAAGATTCAAACTGGGATTGAAATACTTGTTGTTTCCTGAGTACTTTGGTTACTTTTGTTTTGACAATGGTCGCACTATTATCTTTATTTCTAATTCTTATTGAACCATACTATTGATTTTAAATCATGGAACTTCTTGTCATTATTCATTTGCAAATTTATTAGTATTAAAATTAAAGAGAGTTTAACTGTACATATTATTATTTTGTACTAAATTAGTGAATATATACTAAAGCTTCCAATATGAATGTTTTATGTTTAGATATCCGAATTATCAAGAACAGGCAAATAGTATGTGCTTCCTGTGGCAATCAATTGAAAGTTGAAGCAGGGCATGTTTTTTCTCATCCATTATTGGAATTATTGCAATGTGAGGTAAGGTACATTTTGAAGCTTAAATAATATATAATAAAGGAAGCTTATTTATCATATTCACATTTATGTATGTGCATATACTATATAATATTATTTTTTCATTTTGTCAGACATGCCAAAGACACTTTAAACATATAGATAAAGCATGTGATGAAAACATTTGTTACATATGTGGTCATCATAAAAAGTTATATGTATGTAGTGATAAAAAGTGTCTGTCTACATTTTGTAAGGTAATAATTGTTATTGAAATATAAAAATTACTAATGTTTATTGACATTATATTTTTATAATGAACATTATGCTAATGAATAGTGATTTTATACTTTCAGAATTGTATAAAAAGAAATACACCTTTAGTGTTACTGGATGCAGAACATGAAAACTGGAAATGCTTCATATGTAAATCTAGACCACTCTGGGATTTAAGAGGTGTGTGTGCTGCTGTAATGGATACTCTCCCCAAGTAAGTATATAATCAAATATACAAATTTTAATTACAAAATTTAGTTTGATCAGAAATACACATTTTTATGTGGCACATCCGTATGTTTTTTGAATTTTATTTTAATATATACAATATAAATATATATTAGACAAATCACTAATTACTAATTATATTATGATGCACATAATACTTAGTGTTTAATTAGCAATTTCTTATGCTTTCATAAAGTTCTTTGATCCTTGTATACTACAGAAATTATAAATGTGTATCAAGCTGTACTAACGAGTTTTTTTTTATATTAGATGCATTTTAAATATTTAAAGCATTTTTAAATATTTTATAATATTTTATTTCAAATAAAATAACAATTAAATATATAATTATAAATATCGCGAACGCATGAAATCTTTTTAAATATTAATATAGTTATTGAGGCTTTCTATAATCATTAAAAATAACCTAGTATTGTTGCTTTAAAGATTAAATTGCATGTTTTAGTGATATTAAATGTATCATGTAGCATGTGCTCTTTTAATGTTTCTTACCAATACTGTTAGTCTGTTCTATTGTAACATGTTCTATTGTAACATGAATAGGAGAAGATTGTTCTTACATTACTAAGAAAACATTGTAAAAGCAAGATGCACACAAGAGAAAGGGAAGAATGAAGTAATATATATCGCGTTTCTAGAACTACAGGAACGACTGACAGATATTAGAATACATCGAAAATATAAGAAAATTAAAGAAGGATGAAGGATGTGCATGTATACATGATACTACATCAATCAGATTCAAGAAAGAAGATATATATGCATATATAGAATGGATCTTCTGTTTCAGAAGGTGTAACAGGAGTAACGTCTTCAAGACTGAAAAACGTTGCTTACCATCACAGAAAGAAAAAATAGAGAAAACTAGAAAGGTGCAACGAAGCTTGCGAGCGTTATGTGATGATGATGAGGATAGTGTTTCTGAACCAAGGCCGTCTTTCTCTGCGAGATTTGCAAAATCTATAAGAGAGGCGAATAATAGACAGTGTCGTCGACTACAAACGTTAGAAGTAACCATAGTGGATTCCGATATGACGAGCGAAAGTGAGGTGGACCTCCGAAGGAAGGTCAAGAGAGAAAGAAAACCTATTTCAAGCAGTCGGGACTCTAGTAGCTCGTCGCAGGGTTCAGTTTCAAAGTCAATTGTGAGTAAAAAAGAAGTCTCAAAGAGAAACAGAGATTCTAGTAATTCGGATCTTAGTTTAGTTACAGTATCAGATGAGATTACCAAAACCCAACCTACAAAAAAATCCCACAATGAATCCACCAAGAGACAAAAGAGAAAGATCCATGTATCCGATGCTTCAGATAGTGAAAATGATAAAGGCAATCCTACAAACAAAGTATCGAGAACATCCAAAAATTTATCAAAGCATAAGCAACTAGATAAAAAGAAGAGTGCTACTTTGCGTAACAGAGCGGCTAAGAACAAGGATAAAAAGTATCACGATTCAACTAGTGAATCGGAAGATGAAGATGAGGACGAAGATGAGATTGAAGATATTGATATCAAAAATACAAAGCGAAGCAGAGAGAAGCATTCTGCAAGTCGTACTACATCACACAGCGAAGGTAACGAAATGCAGAAATACGAGAAACGTGAAAATTCGGAAAGACAACCTCTTCGGGAAGATGACTCGGATTCTAGTAGTAAAGAGTTTCAAAAAGAAAAATTGCTTCGCACAAAGTATTCTTTAAGAAAGTTGAAAGATTTAGTTAGAGATTATACTAAGTTAGTCACTGCGGATAGTCCTTCAAGTGAGAAGATCACAAATAGAAAGGATCATTGTAAAGATAACTCGAATTTAACTTTTGATGATGTAAAGAAGATCTTGAAGGAATGCAAAAGTGTATGCTCGTCATTTCAAAAGTATATCGAATTCGTCGAAAAACTATACGAGAAAGAAAACGAAGACAAACTTGTAATATTATCTGCACGAAAGGTAGATAAATATACAACGGCGTTGAGTGAAAAGCGGAAAGACCTGATGAGTATCTGTGAGTCGTGGTCTAAGAGGCCTCCAGGTCTAAGGAACGCTCCGAAGAAAGTATACAAAAAAGTCAGTCACGATGAGCGATCTTCTGACGAATCCGATACACCGATAAAATGTAAAACGCAGAAGAATGAATCTCACAATTCGAAAAATCAACAGGACGACATAGAAGTGTCCGAATGTGACAGCGAAGAAATATTTTCAGCGAATGAGAGCAGGTCACCGCAGAAAATGCGCACTACTCATAAAACAGATCCACCAAAAATAGATAGCAGCGGCACTGATAACGATGAGTACATGGACGCACAAGAAGCGTTAAACAAGTCGAAGGACAGTACAAAAAGTACCGAAAATTTGCGAGACGCCTTGGTCGCTTCCCCGGTATTAGGTACGTCGGAACAGAAAAAAGCTAATACGGAAGGATCGAGTAAACAACTGGATAACAGGAAAGAATCTAATGATGCCGACAACAAGGCACAAACGAAGAACAGAAATAACGATCTTGAGATTAATCAAGCGAAATCAGCCAGTTCGAGTGATCATGAGAACGAAATCGATGTCGACAGTCCTTCCTTGAAGAAGACCACGAAGAAAACAACATTGCAAAACAATAATAACGCACGAGCTAATCTCGCAGCCGACAAGGATATGATCAATGAATCGATAGATGATCTATTCGATTCTTCTTTCGACGGGAATGTGCAGGACATGGATACGCAGAAAACGGATGCGGAAACGAATAATGATAAAGCAGAACATGTGCCTAAAACTAAGTCTGCGAATAACCTCAATGCTTGTGAAACTCTCTCGAAAGATGAAGCAAATTATGCAGCGGCTGATGCCGACAATGACGAAATTCCAAGTGTGGAACGCGAAACAACTTCGCCTGAACGTAATGAAAAAGAAGTGGATTCAGCGAGTCGTAATGATCTTGAGAAAGTGGAGTCCGCAGCGAGCAAGAAGAGCCACAATGTTGATAATAATAATTCGGAGCGAGTTAATGAAGCAGCCGAAAAAGCAGATAGCGACGACGCGGAATCCCTCGAGATTGCTGAAGCATTGGCGAAACAGGCTTTGCTACAGTCGGATTCTGAGAATATTACAAACGACTCGTTACCCGACACGAGCTTGACTAAACCGAGTGAAAACGCAGTTGCAGATGAAACGAAGGAACACAGAACGGAAGACATTGATTCCGATGTCAGCACGCTAGTCTTGTCCCCAGTGAAGAATAAAGAGGTGGCGAAGGATACTGACGCGAAAGCTGAGACAAACCCCAAGAACAAGAGTAACGATAAACTGAGCGAAGCTGAGAAGACGAAAAATTTGTCGGACGAAGATCGCAAGGCTGAAGAAACTGCCAAGAAAGCCCTCTTGGCGGGCAGCACCTCGGACGACTCCACGTCGTCACCATCGCGAGAATTGGAAGAGAACGCCGCCGAAAAACGTAAAAGTAAAAAGAGTAACTTGGACACCGTAGCTTCTGCCAATATCAAAGCGAAGAAAGCGCTTTTAGCGTCTTCCAATAGCGACACTTCCTTTTCCGAGGCCAGCGTGTCCGAGACAGCCGTATTGAAAACCGGCAAAAAGAACAGCAAACGTAAACGCGAGATCGAGTCCGACGCGAAGTCGGCCCTTCACGCGGCGAAAAAGAAAAAACTGTATCTTCACAAGAATATCCATTATATGAACGACGAGAAATTGAGAATGATCTGCGAGGTCCGCGTAAAGCGATTACCCAAGAAGATCCTTAAACGCTACTCGCACGCGTTACAAAAGTCCAAACGATATCTGGAACATAAGGCGCTGAAAAGGTATCAAAGTTTTTCACTAAGACATGTATGTGTTGCTTTGCACCGTATGAAGTAATTTTTGTTATCCATATTGCCCCTTGTATTGTTCATTGCTTCTTTCCTTTTTCTGTGAGTACACAACAATTATTTTTCCCTTGGGCATTTTGCTATGAGATATTAAAGCATTAAAGCAGCGAAATCAGATAATCGGCATGAAGATTGTAGAATTCTTCATGCTTTCATACCTTCAACACGATTTCTCATATCATCGCATTACGTTCAAATGTTTGGATATTCGTTATTTTAAAGACTGCAAATATTTGGAAGACACAATTTGCATCAACTGCAAATATTCATTTGTGAAAAAACGAGAAATTATTCTAATATGTTTATATGGCGTTAATTTCATTATTACTAATGGCGAACTTTATAACATACTGAAAAGAGAACAATCGTGGATCTGCTCGGTGACCTCGAGCAGAGAGAGAGAGAGAAAGAAAGAAAGAAAGAAAAAAAATATCTCGGTGATTGTACTTATATTGTGTGTTATTATCTGCACACATATTGCATTCAACAAATTTTTGTGTTCTTATACCGATATACGTACTGTATATCGGTATAACTTCATTATATAGATGTTTTATTGATACTATATAAATGCTGAAAATAGAGAAAATGTAGAAAATGGTAACATAACAAAGAGCGCGTCACTTCTTCAGATACTCTTGGTTCAATAGGTCACATTATTTGTTCTAACATTGCTTCTCTTCCCAGTATATTATACAGTTCAGTAATTATTATATAAGATGGTCAATGCACCAATTTATGTATTTACTTACAATAATATATTTATATTAACATTTCTTATTTATATTATTTCTACTTTATATTATTTCTAACATTAATATAACAAAAATAAAACTCTTGTTTGTTCGAAGAATAGATCTTTGTGTATGAAAGATCGTTCTCATTCTTATGGTGTAAATTTCATTATTTTCTGTCTTTCTATAAATTTGCCAAATTGAGACGACGAAAAAGATAAGGATATAACTTTATATAATAAATTTTTCATACAATATTTGCCGTATTAATCATTATCCATCGAACCTTATTATCCATTATCCTTTGCAGTCTTGTTAACTTGGACACGATCGAAAAGAGATACAAAAACACAAAAAAAGACTCCGACACGTCGACGGATGATGATAATGATGCATCGTCAAAGATCTCGAGAAGATCGAATAAGGGAAAAGGGAAACAAGCAACCAAAGAGACAGAGGAGTCTTTGATGGATCACTTGAAAAAGGTAGAGAACGAGGACCCGTTGAGTATACAAGCGATTTATAGTTCCGACGAATCTGCTGATCGAATCGCAAAAGTAGACACCGCGATTGTGTCTAACGAGGATTTACTGTTAGAGGCAAATAAAGCCGCGAAACAGAATCTGTTAAATTCTACTGATTCGGATGCTGGTAAGCGATTTATTGCTAAACGTGTAATAGTAAATTTTAGCTATGTAATAATTATATGCATGAGGTCCGAATGTATTTTTTCTTGATTGTACATTCTTCAAGGAGTATATCAATCAAATTATTCTTAGAAGAAAAAAATATTTTATTTCTTATATTTCTTCTAACTCTTTAAACTTTTAAGATTAGATGAATCTCTTTGATAACACTCTATATATCGACTCTATACACTTTCGTTATTATTTCTGTAGACTGAAATTTATATAAAGTAAAATGGTTTACGCAATTATACTCAAATATGAATATGTTATTTACATGTAGAAAAAGCAATGGTATCGGACAATGATAGCACAAGCCACGACGACAAAAATAAGAAGACTGAAAATAAGAAAAAGAAATCTCAGCCCGAACAAAAGAAAGACGAAAGAAAGTCAGACGAGGTATAATCCAATTTTTTGTGGCTTGAGAAAATTTATTAATTTGCAAATTTATTATATACAATAAAATAAACTAAAAAAAAAATAGTACAATGGATATTAGACCGTGCATAGAGATTTTTAATCATTGCCCCTATAAAATGTTTCAGAGTAAGAAAGAGAAAAACGAGAAAAGTAGTTGGAGACGAAATAAAATATTGACATTGAAATTGAGTGACACAGATTCCGATGCTGAGAAGGAAAAATGGAAGAAAAAGCAAGAAAGATTAGAAAAAGAGGAAAAGAACAAGTGAGTGCTTCTCATTTTATTTCATATAAAGGATGAATAATTTTTCTCAAAATTGTTCTCCTTACAGCAGCGACTCTGACGAGGAGAAAAAATCTAAATTGAGGCAGAAGAAAAAGAAAGGCGGACGGAGAATTATATATTCTGATTCAGATATCAAGATAACGGATTGCGATTCAGATTCAAGTTCCGATAGCTCCTTTAAAGTGTCGGACTTAAAGAAAAATTCAAGCGATTCCGTCATCTCTCTAGAATCAGCCGATAAGAAGAAACAAAAGGAGAAACTGAAGCGGAGGCGCAAACGTCGTGATAGCAAGTCGTCAGATACGGATTCATCGTTCGAAGAGAAGAGGCAAATAGATATAGATTATATTTATTTGGCTCGCTCTCTTTATTTTTTGCTTCTCTCTTTTTACATCTTTAGTTTTACTAACTACTTCTATTTACCATGAATACTTGTAGGCCAAAACCGAAGCGTAAGCGGATTAAAAAAATGGCATCTGATAGTGATAGTAGCGATGTGATAGAAACCTCCCAAGGTACACCCAACAAAAGTGGTCGAAAGAACATTAGGAAAGTTCTGAAGGACAAGCAGGTGGCGGAGGATACAAAACAGGCGGCCAAGGAGGAAGAGGAGAGGCTTAAGCGTATCGCTGAACGTCAAGCTCTGGTATACTTCGACTGCAGTTATCAATTATTGCGGCTCACTAATAAGTCTACTATACTATCGCTTTAATTATAGTATAATGAGATGTATGAAATGAGACTCGCGGGAGAGGAAAAAATAGACAAGCTTGTTTTGGATTTCGACACGACTACGAAGGAAGAACTCGTGAGTGTGCATGAGGGTTTGGTGAAGCGTTTGAAGCCGCATCAGGCGCAGGGCATCAAGTTCATGTGGGACGCCTGTTACGAGTCCCTCGAGAGAATAAAAACCACCTCCGGATCTGGATGCATAATCGCGCACTGCATGGGTCTGGGCAAGACGCTGCAGGTGATCGCTTTAACGCACACGCTCCTAACTCACGAGATGACAGACACTAAAACGGTATTGATAGTATGTCCCTTGAGTACGGTTCTCAATTGGGTGCAAGAGTACAAAACGTGGCTAGCTAATATGGACGACGACGTTGATGTGTACGAGCTGACCAAGTGAGTATGACATTTGATGTCTTTCTCTCAAAACTTGTGTGTCATCACTTGTCGTTTTGACAAAGAACGCGAGGCACTTCTGGCATGTTGTAACGGTGATTCCAGATTTAAGAAAAATTTCGAGAGGAAGTGTCAGCTACAGGTATGGCAACGAACCGGCGGTGTGCTGATCATCGGTTACGAAATGTTCCGCAATCTCACCGGACCGAACAAAAATATTCGGAAGGGCATGAAGGAGACGATACTGGAGTGTTTAATCGATCCAGGCCCGGATCTTATCGTTTGTGACGAGGGTCACTTGTTAAAGAACGAGGACACTGCGTTAAGCAAATGCATAAGAATGGTGAAAACTTTGCGACGCATAGTACTCACTGGAACACCGTTGCAGAACAATTTAATAGAATGTAAGTGCGCTGTAATTTTCAATTTACAGGGCGTTCGTAAGTTCAGTATAAATATCTCACATTTGCGTCCATGATTGAGATATTTCATGTTTTTTATCCTGTAGATCATTGTATGGTGCAGTTTGTGAAACCAAATCTGTTGGGCACGAAGAAGGAATTCCTGAACCGATTTGTGAATCCGATAACGAACGGTCAGTTTGACGATTCTACGGAATACGACGTCAAATTGATGAAGAAACGTGCGCACGTATTGCATAAGATGTTAGAGGGTAGCGTACAGAGGTTCGATTATTCCGTGCTCACGCCGTTCTTACCGCCTAAGCAAGAGTACGTTATTTTCGTCAGACTGACGGAGACGCAAATTAAAATGTATCAGTATTACTTGGCTAATCTCGCAAGGTACGTCGATCCAAAATATGTATACGAAGTGGCCTAAAGCTATTGTATGATATATATTCTGGGTTTACTATATTCTGGAATTTGATTGCGGTCGAAATCTTAATTTAAAAATATTCAGAGAAATTATGATTCATTGCAGTATTTCAATATTTAACGTTACTTTGTAACCAAACTTTCTATCTGAAATTAGCTAATGAATGCAATATTGTTATTCATGTGGTTTCTTCAAGTTTAGTTAAAAACACGGCGGAAAGGTCGTGTTTTTTTTTTTATTGGTTTACTACTTGAAAAATAATGATGCCTCAACATTTTTGTATGAAGATTTCCGACTCCAATTAAGCTTCAGAATTAAAGTATTGCATGATGATTTTAGGGCATTTTATATCATGTTTCCTTCTTCTGTTTAAAACATGATTTATTCGTAAATATCGTCTATCTTCCAGCTAAACAGTGTACTCCAATAAATCATAACATCGTTAATGTACATATATGTAATTGTATATTATTTTGCGTGCTTTTACAGACGCCATCATGGCATGGGAGGATCTCTCTTCGCAGATTTTCAAGCGTTGCAAAGGATCTGGACACATCCTATAGTTTTACGCTTGAACGCGGAGAAAATAGAAAAGGCAAACGAGAAAAAAGGGCTTTCCACCGATTCGGAGGGTTCATTAAAGGATTTCATTAACGACGATTCTACCGACGCAGACACCTCTTCTAGTGACTCGAGCAATGATAGTGATGTTCAGACTATCGACGATACGAATGTACCAAGGCGTAAAACGAGAAATAATCCAGGCGTTGGTGAGTTTTCGATATCGATATATTTAGATATCGACTTTATATTTCTTTTCTTTTTTTTTTCTTATTCTTACTTTAGGACATCGCCTTTCTTACGTTTGGACATTATTTTTAATTATTTGATGTTTATAAGTTACTAAAAAGGATCACTTAGTAATTAAAACGTTTAATGTTATTAGTTATTACGTAATACTTAAAATTTACTAATAACTACGGACTCTCCCATTTACCACTCCTTCCTGGATTTAAAATAAAAAAGAAATTGATGGTACACAAAGCAATGATGATACGATACAAGACATGAAATTATAATAATGCGTTCGTTTCCAGACGAACCAGAACCAGAACCACCGGCTAAGGAAGCAGAAGTAGAATGGTGGTCACAATTCGTGCAGCCTGAGCATTTCGAAGACATGAAAGTGTCGGCGAAATTGTTACTTCTCTTTGGCATTTTGAAAGAAAGTGAGCAAATTGGCGACAAAGTGTACGTATCCTCGCATACACGTAGCTAGATGAACAACATTCGCCTTGCTACATCATATCGTTTGCTACTCAACAGGCTCGTGTTCTCGCAATCTCTGTACTCGCTTACTTTGATTGAGGCATTCCTGCGGAAAATCGACGATGAGACGCAGAGCGACAAATGTCTGGAGACGCTGGACAATCATACGGGAAGCTGGTGCTTAGGTCTCGATTATTTTCGCTTGGACGGTCAAACATCAGCCGATAACAGAAGTATGTGGTGCAAGCTATTCAACAAACCCAGCAACATCAGAGCAAGACTGTTCCTTATATCCACGCGTGCCGGCGGACTGGGAATCAACTTGACCGCAGCGAATCGAGTGATCATCTTCGACGCCAGCTGGAATCCCTCTCACGACGTGCAAAGTATATTCCGAATATACAGGTACTTCCCCCGATCAATTCTTGATCACTTTTCAGGAGAAGAAACTCAATGAGATCATGATTTATAGCTTTCTGGTAGTTTTTTAATTTGGCGTTTTTTTTTTATGGAAGATCTTCATTTTACTTTATCCGTTTTGTCACTTCTTCAAATTTCGATCTTTCCAATCTTTATGTATAACGGTTAGGTTCGGACAAAAGAAGCCGTGTTATGTATACCGCTTTCTCGCGGCGGGAACAATGGAAGAAAAAATCTATAATCGTCAAGTCACGAAGCTGTCGTTGTCGTGTCGAGTTGTGGACGAGCAGCAGATTGAACGACATTATAGTAATCACAATTTGAACGAATTGTACACGTTTGAGCCATACGATACGGAGAAACCTACGTTAAATCTACCTAAAGATCGACTCTTAGCGGAGATATTTCTTAAGCATAAGGATATCGTGGAAAATTATCACGAGCATGATTCTTTATTGGAGAACAAGGTAAGATTCTTTTTTTTTTTGTTTTTCTCAAGTACATATATACTTTACGTGATAAATTGATATTACAGGCTGAGGAAGAATTAGACGAAGAAGAGCGCAAGCAAGCCTGGCTAGAATATGAAGAGGAGAAGAAAGGAAAACCAATGATAATGGCTTATCAGAACAATATATACCAGCAACAGTATAATATGATGATAAATGCTGAGCAAATTGGTCTGTTGGGTCCGAATTTCTCTCTGCAAAGAGGATACGAAGATCTTCAACAAATTATTCAAAAAGATGTAAGCACTATAAAAATGCGATAGCGCGCTTTATTTCATATATAAGATATTAAAAAATTATACTATTGGTTTTGTTTAAAGTTCTTTTAGTAAAGCACTTCTTAGCGATCACAACTGCGTGCTTGCAATCGTTTAAGTCTGATCTATAATATGCTCTTTCTGCTTCTTTCTCTTTATCTCTTTCTGACTCAAACCTTAAGCTTTAAGCCAGAAAAAGATAGAAGACAAGAAGCAGAACGCAAAGAGTATATTATAAATCAGGCTTAAGAGCCAAAAAGAAACGCTTTTCCAAGACTGTTATGGAGTCTTCTCTTTTTTTATTTTTTAGTCTTTGATATTTTCAAGTTCGTAAATGTAGTTTTCTTTTAACATTTTGTAGGGATTATAAGTTTTTATTAAAGAACCGGTTAAGTAGTAAAGTAAGTTCATAATTCTGGAATTTTTGTAGTTTCCTAATGCTACACCAGAGCAACAGAAGATGATGGTAAACCGAACCTTAGCAGACATGTACAATTACTGGGAGCAACAAGCAGTACTTCAGCCTGTTAGAAATACAGTGCCACTTCCGGTAATAATTTATTTTTATCTACTTCTATTAATATTCTTCAATATATATCAAGTGTAATTTTTGTTGTATTTTTGGATAAAATGAAAATTTATATAATTTTGAAAAAGAGCAACGTATTGGTCATTATTATCTATAACTTACAAAGATAGTATTCTATCAAACTAGTAGCACAGTTTAAAAACAAATCTAATAATAATTCATTGCGCGTCAAAGATGAACATACGAAATACGACACAAATTATGCAACAACCTAGTAATTATTGTATTGTTTTGCTCAAGATTGTGAATAAGAAAAAACGTTACCTTAAAAAAAATATATATATATATATATAAATTTTTTAACGTAAAAATAACCAAAAAAGAGATATATGTAATTTATAATATATCATTTTATAGACCTATCAATTGACGTTCCCAGGGCCACAAGCCACGACTAGCAATAACGCGCACGTAAGTACAATTGTTCACATCGAAACACAAAAACTTTTTGAAATATTTATTTATTATTTATTGTTACGACAGCAATTGACTCAGTTACTTAAGGGACAAACAGTAAATTATGGAAACGTAAAGCAGTCCGCGCAAAGTGGAATGAATTTATTACAGAATCAACTTACATATCGAAATGTTCCGGCTAACAATGCGAGAAATGCAGATAATGAAATAGTCGAGGTAGTAGTACACTTTGTTATGTGCGCCTGGCCATTGTGTGTGTATGTGTGTATGTGTAACTAGTAGTAAGTACTACTTGTACAATTTTCAACTTTATACATATAAGTATAAAGCCAAAAATCGTACATGTAACTCTAGTTATAATGGCCAGGCGTACATGGCATTGTGTGTGCATTGCGTTATTATATTGCTTTCGATTCCGTATAAAGTGTGACAGCTGAATACAATTAATTTATCTGGACTTACAGATGGCCCCTAGTACCAGTAATACTGGTGCGTTAAATGCACAAATGGCACAAGTAGTACAACCAGCTGCTACAAACAAAAATCAGGAGGAGTAAGAATTTATTTATTTTAATTTTTACTATTATTAATTCATCATCGTTTATAAATTATCTATATATACATACACATATATATATATATATATATATATATATATATATATATATATATATATATATA